GCGGCCAGGGTCCCTTCCGTCAGGTGGGTGCTGTGCGGAGGCTGGGGAGGGGTGGGTGGAGGGGTGGAGGGAAAGGGGGGCAGGTTTGTGTCACGCGACACGCGAGGTAGGCTGCGGCGGAAGCGGTTGGGGTTCAAGCTCGGTCAGCATCCCTTCCCGGAAACCACCCTAGTCAGTTCGCACACGTGAGGTAGATCGACATCCCGCCGCACACCACTCGTAACAGATCACCCCTCCCCGCCCCGCACTCCTCTGCAGCTTTGAACACGCCAGCAGTGGCATTCCTGTGCGGCTGTGTATCGCTTATCCTAACTTCGCCCTCCGGCCCCTGGTGGTGCGAGGGTTGGCAATGCTGGAGCCCCGACTGCGTAGCCTCATACAATTGGTGGGTGGGAGGGACGTTTGGGGGGAGGGAGGGAGGGACGTTTGGGAAGTAGGCCGGGGGGACTACATGATGCAAACGTCAAAGGAAATCAACTGCCGAGTTCTTAAGCGATCTGTCGGAATACAAAGCAGTGGGTAGAGAACGAGAGATTCAGGGCTTTTAGAGTAATATCTTATGACTTTGCAGGATACAACTAGAATCAGATGTACAGGGGACATCGAGAAATGAGAGCTGCCTTACAACAACGCAGATCGGTGGCATTGTGTACATGTGTCGGGTGGTGTTGGTGGCGGTAACTTGACGGTGAGTCTGTCCCTCGCGCCCTCGCTTTTTTAACAGGTAGAGTTGTGGGCTGAAGCACGGAGTCTGAACAATCCCGCTGCGGGTACCTTCAATTCCTGGGCGCTTGTCAACCTGGTAAGAGCGGAGGAGGGGGCCTGCAGTCGGTTGGGTTGCGTGCGCCATTAGTTTTTGTACCCCGGGGGGCCTCTCGTCCTGGTCCTAGATGCGCTCCTTTGGAACCCATGTAACCCCCGCCACACCACATATTCACACACACATACAGACACACCCTACCACATACACACGCACATGTACTCAAAAACACACATTATACTCAGTCGCGTATATACTGTCAGACACACACACACGCACGCTACCGTCGCAGGTCATCTTTGCGGCCCAGACCTTCCAGCCTCGGCCGCTGCTGCCGCCCCTCTGGCGGGTCTGTGGAGCTGCAGACCCCGCAGCCAGCGGGGGCGGTACGGCAGTGCCAGGCCCCGGAGCCGGAGGAAGCGGGACGTCATCTTGCGCCGGTGGCGCCGCCGCCGTGGCGACGGCGGCGGGCTCCGGTGGTATTGGCGGCGGCGGTACCAGTAGTGGCGGCGCCGGCGGGGTACGGCCCACGCAGCGGCTACCGGGCTTAACGGCTTCATCCGAGGGATTGGGGATACTGTTGCGGGACATCAATGCAAGGTGGGGCCCTATGCTTTGACAGGAAGGGAAGGGGAGGAGGGAAGGGGAAGGGAACTGTGTATCGCGTCGTGTCGTGTCCGGATTCCCCGGTCGTTCCTCCACAGCTCCTACGTACAGCTCCTACCCCACCCCACAGCTAGGACTTGGGTGCCTTACCTTTTTATAAAACCTTCCCCGTCACATCCTGCACGCCGTTCACCCACCCACTTGCCAGGCTCACTGGGCCGCCCGAAGCTCTGGGGCTGCTGCCACCACCTGCTCCTGGTGCTGCTGCTGCTGCCGGCGGCGGCGGCGGCGGCGGCAACAGCCAGGCGGGTCAGGTCTCGTCATGTGATACTGATGCCACAGCTACAGCTGCGGGTTTGTTTCCTGTATTCCATTGGTTTCTGGTGCTATTGGACAGACTGCTGGCGCATTGGCAACTGTCATGGAACAGGTTGGTCATGTGAAGGGTGGTTGTGTACGGTGTGTGTATATCGGTTGGACGAGCGAACAAGGGAAGAAGGGAACAAGGCAATCGGACTGGTTTGCGAGGAGGTCAGCTGAGAGCAAAGGGGGAAGACGGAGGAAGAAAGGGGCGAAGACCGGATTATTGTACGAACGACCCGCGGGGTTAAAGTGGGTGGTTAGTTCCTGTGGTGGTGGGGAATGGCGGGGTAGCAGTTCCCGCGTGTGGGTGTGACGATGGTGAGTTGGAACGGAGAGTTGTTCTGTACGGCTTAGAACTTTGTGGCTTAGAACTTTCTTGTCATTCCATCACCGCCTTCCCCCTTCTCGACTTATACTCCGCATGTTATCCCCCATCCCTTATAAGCATCAGTCGTCTGTGGTTCGTCTTCCTCCCCACCCTGCGCCCTGCGGCCCAGGCGGTGGCGTGTATCGACCTGGTGGGGTCACCTGGTCCAGCAGCCCTTCAACAGGGCCTTCCTGGTGCCCCTGGAGTGCCCCTTCGACCCCGCGGACAATGCGGCCAAGAGCCTAGGGTGCGAGGTGAGAGACAGGAGGGGGCTGCGTGTGTGCTTGTGGACGCGAAGGGGGAGAGGGGAATGGGAGAGAAATTTGGAAAGAACCGCGTGTCGTTGGCGGTGAAGGGGATGGTGGAGGGCTGCTGGGGGCCGTGTGTTCCCCTCGCTGTTGGTCTTCTCGTTCACATTCCCTTTCCCGCCAGCTACCGTGTCTTGTTCCGCTCCCACTGACCGTATTTCCCCCCGTGCTCCCTCCCCCCCCCCCCACAAACACACGTTTTTTCCGGGGCGCCCCGCCCAACACACGCACACGCGCTCCACAGAACCAGCCCAGGCACCAGCAGGTGTTGCGGGGGGTGGTGGCGGAAGTGGCGGCCTCGCTCAAGCTGCTACAGGAGACAAGGACGCCGGAAGGTATGTATGTACGTGAATGGATGGAGTGAAGGAAGGAGGGGAAGGAGGGAGGGTCTTAGGAGTGGTGCGAAATGGGTGGTTGATGCCATGTGCACCAGGTATGTTAAAGGTGGGGAGGGGCTGCGGCCGAAGGGGAAGCAGAGGGCGGACGGACGGAAGCAGGCAAGCAGGCAGACAGGCACGGGGTTAGGGCTGCTAGCATTCTGTACCTATTAAAACATCATGCATTTGTTTTTTTGAGATTGCTAGATTCAATTGTCTCGGGGAAGGGTCGGGCGGCTGTGTTGTGGCAGGTGGGGCACACAGGTAGTGGGCAGTGGGGGAGCTGGTTTGCCGGGGGCGCTGATAATGCTTGATGGGCCTCTGCTCATTGGGTGTTTACTTGTTGAGGGTCTTGGGGTTGATGATTCGTAGGGAGGACGAAAGCTACGCAGGCTCCGTCTCCGGGGTGTGTGGCGTGTGTCTGTGTATGTAGGGGGACGTCGGTCTGTCGGTCTATCTGTTTCATGTGTCGGTGTGTCCGAGAGGGATTCCGTGATCCGAGCCGTAACGGGTGCTTCCGACCACCGCAAGGGGCTGCGTCCTTATCCTGATTGCCTGCCTTCCCGCCTACCCTACCCGCCGGAGGCATGGATTTCCTTGCGTGTCGTTCCCACCACGTCGCTGCCTTCTTTCTTTGCTGTTTCATGCTGTGCACAAGAGTGCAAACCTTGATGCTAGTGATGCCACCACCACCACCACCACCATCCCCACAGCCACCAAGCTTGAAGACTACTGTATTCCAGGATACAGTGGCAGGTGGTGATGCTACAGCTGCAAAAGGATGCATGATGCTGATATGCATGAGCGGAAGAACTCCCCGGCTTTGCCATCCGCGATGTGTGTGTTTGTGACACGGCGGCTGTGACTTGCATGTGGGCCTTGTGCAGATTTGGACCGGCTCGTTCTGGGGATGTTTGGCCTCGAGGTGGAGCACCTCTACTTGGAAGAGGAGGGGGAGGAGGGGGGGGTAGTGGCGGCTGGGCTTAGTGAGGAGGGGATGCCGGTGGAGGAGGAGGAAGAAGAAGCGGCGGCGGCGGCAGACGTACAGCAGTACGGTCGTTGTGCAGCGGCAGCAACAGCGCCAACAGCAGCAGATATGGAGGGAGAGCCGGGCGCGCCGCGACTGCACGGCCAATCGTCGCCGCGGGAGCTGGAGGACGCGGCAGCCGCTGCCGACGCGACGTCCGCTACCGCGCGTAATGAAAGTGGTGCTAGTAGCCCTGCGGCGCAGGTACGACAGTCTCTGGCAGAAAGAAAGGGGAATCCCTCCGTAACGCCGGCGAAGGTGCGAACTGGCAGCTCCGCCGCCATGGCGTCGCCGCCGGAGGGTGGGACTCGCAGTAGTGACAGCAAGGCCAAAAGCAAGGCTCAGCGGTGCCGGGCATCTCCGTCGGCAGGGGCGGCGCCGGCGGCAGCGGCAGCCGCTACCACCGCGCAAGGTACGGCTCAAAAGGACGAGCACTCTGCCGGCGACCTGGCGTTTGACCTCGACGCTGTGAGAGTGGAGATCTATGGCGTCAATGACGCCGCTGCTGGTGCTGCTGCTGCCGCGGGTACGGCGACTGTACGGCTACCCCCGTCGGCTGCTGCAGCAGCACTACCCATCGCCGCCGCGACGCCGGCGGTGCTGCGCGCCAACGCAATGGTCCAGCGGCCGTTGTCGCCGTTGCTTCGTGACGTCACCAATGCACGACAGTACGGCCGCAGCTCCCAGAGTAGCGCCCCCGAGCCCAAGGCTGGGCCTTCCGCCACCGCCACCGCCGCCACCTCCACCACGCAGTCCCCCGGCGGACCTGGAGAATCTCTACTGCCGTTTGAGGGCCTTTTTGGGACCTTGCTGGAGGGCGCTCGCCGCCTGTTTGACAACATGGCTCAGGTAGGCGCCGTGGAAGGGAGCTGTGGGAAGCTTTGAAAATTGGAGTGCCGTACTTGTCCGTACTTTGTCCTGGTGTTGTGGGACCCCGAGGGATACGTCGGAGCGCTCGTATCCGTCTCGTCATGGCGTCTTCTGAACGTTGTCTTGCTACTTTTGACGTCGCTGGCTTGTGGTTCCAGGGTATGGTTGAGTTGGGGGAGGATCTCAACGAGCTCGCCGCCACCACCACCGCCGCCATCCGTGCCGTCATCAACGACGACGAAGACCTGCCCCTCCTGGGATCTTCGTCCGCAGCGCTCCGCCGCCAGCGCCGCCAGCGTCTACAGCTGCTGCACCGTGGTGGTGGCGGCACTCCCGCCGCCGCGGCGGCGGCGGCGGCATCATCCTCAGGCGTGTCGCCCGGTACCTCAACCTCCGGATCGCCATATCCGCAGCAGCAGCAGCAGGCGGCACAGATACATTCGCAGGCCAAGCAACGCCCCGCCGGGTCGCCGGCGCCGTCGGGGATTGCCTCCGCGGGGCGGCGGGGAACCGTACAGCCAGGGCGGCCATCGCCCCTGCGCCCTGGGGAGCGAGGCGCTGGTACGGCATGGCCAGGGGCTGGGAGTACGACACCAGGCCAGCGGGAGCCGCCATCCCCGGGGCTAGGGACGCCTAGCGCCAAGGAAGTGGTGGCGGCGGCTAGTCCCTGCCAGGTGCGCAGCGGGCCTAGGCGGCGGGGTGAAGAGGTAGCTGCTGCGTTGACGATGGCAGCGGCGCTGTCGCCGACGCCGACACCGCCGCCGCAGCAGCAAGAGCCGCTGACCTCGATATCCGTTGCCGACGGCTGTGGCGACATAAAACTCCGCGAATTGGGCACGATGGAAGATTTCGTACCGGAGGATTCACAGTCTGCCAGCACAAGGGCAGGTACTGGCATCGTCCCGTCCGCTGCCGCCGCTGCGTCAGCGAATGGGGACGCGACCTCAGACACAGCGACGGAGGCCGCGGGCGCCTTATCGGGCCCTAGCATCAGCGGCCAGACCGCCGCCGCCACTGCCGCCATCAGCGGAGTCCCCGTCACGCTCCGTACGACGCCGGTAAGTGCCTTTGATCACCCCTTGGCCTGCAGCTCAATGGTTGTCACCGGTACGGACGCGTCTGAGCCGCGGCCGCCGCCTATGGCGGCGGCAGCGCCTGCCGCCGCCTCGTTGACTGATGGGATGGCATTGGCAGCCGACGCTGTGGCGGACGTTGTGGATATGCCACCGTATGGCGGCTGCGATGCGGCGGCGGTGCCGCCGCCGCGGCAGCCGGCGCAGGCTGCGTCAGCGGCGGCGTTGGCGCTGCCGCCGCTTTCTGTGGGTCTGCTACGGCAAGATTCTCAAAACAGCAGCGCTGCAATGGCGGCAGTGGGAGAGTGCGGTACGTGCGGTACATCGTTGACGCGCGCTTCCACTCCTACTGCGGACGCCACCGCCTCTACGGCATCTTCACCCACCTTCGGCAGTAGTAGCCGTTCTTTTGCACCAACACCGCCCCGCAGAGCGTCAGGCAGTGGCGGAGGTCAGGGCCCGCCCACGCTGGCGCGCGGCGCCTCCGCCGCCGTCGCAGTGACGGAGCCGCCGCCGGCCAGCAGCGGCGGCGGGGCCGGGGTCAGGGCCGGTGCGGCGCGCAACGCGCCTCCGCCACCACCGCCGCTACCGCCGCCGCCGCGGGCACCCGTGGGCATGGGGGGGCTACGTGTCAAGAGCGCCACGTTCCGAAAGGTGAATGAGCGAGTAGCTGATGACGATTTTACGTTTATGCCCCCTCTTCTTCTTGCCAAGGTACCCATTCCCATCCACTCCACGGAACTGGCCCAAGGACCTGTCAACACCCATATGCACCACCACTACCGTCACCGCCACCCGCACCCCCCACCACCGCCACTACCACCGCCACTACCACCACCACTACCTGACCCGCAGGGACCCGGACGAGTTGACGCCCTCAGCGCCCTCACCTCACCCACCGGAAGTGGAACCAACACCCCCTGCTGCACCACCCCCACTACAACTACAACTACCACAAGTAAAGCCGTACATATAGCCCTGACCACCAACACCGCTGCCGCCGCAACAACCACCACTACCACCACAACCGCAAGCCCTTCCGCTGTTGTAGCAGCAGCAGCGGCGGCCGCGGCCATTTCGACTCCTCCACACTCCACCGCTGCCGCGGAGTGGGCGGGGTACCATGACACGTCAAATCGTACCCTGATCCAGCTGAGCTCGGGGCGGCTTCAGGAACTGGCGGAGTGTATCGACAGGGCGGGACCGGGCACCACTATTGACATGCAGGGAAACACCTTCACGGGGCCCCTGGCCGCGCCCGCCATGAAGGTAAAATAAAAGGACGACGTGGGCGTGTGTGTCTGTACAGTATGTATGTATGTATGTATGTATGTATGTATGTATGTATGTATGGACTGTGACGTGTGGGACAGTGATGTCTGGTTTACCTTCACCGGCTTCCCAACCAACTTCCTAACCAACTGCCCAACCAACCAACAAGTACTTCTCACGCTTTTTTGGCCTTCACCCGTTTGGAAAGGTTACGGCACCCGGCTTGTGGCTCATTAACGGGGAGCTGGCGTTGGTTCCGGAGCAGCAGCTCGTGGTGGTGGCCAAGGCGGTTAGGATGACAGATGTGTTGGTCAGGGAAGCGGCGGCGGTGACGCCGGTTCCCATCGCCGCCACTGTTGCCGTACGACCAGCGCTTCTTGTAACCAAGCAGTCGTACGTTGGTGGCGGAGAGCTAATATTGACGCGGTGCCAATTGCTGCTTCCGGCCAGTCGCGGCGTTGGGTTGCAGGTGCGTGGTGTATACGGGAGCGGGGTACGGCAGTGCGGCAGTACGGGACAGGGCGCGCTAAAGAGGAAACGGTTGGTGGAGTAAGTGTGTTTGGCCTTTCAGGTCGCGAACCTCTTCCCAGTCGTCTGTCATCATGCTGCCAGTTCTCAACATCTGGACCAAACATAAGCCTTGGCGAGGCAGAAAAGCTGCTTCTGGGACCTACAAAGAGACAGCAGGGCACAGGGTATTACAGGGTAGTCAATCAATGAAAGACTTTTGAAGTCCTCTAAAAGAACTCCTCAAGAGGTTACTTGCAGCGTACGTGTGTATGTATGTATGTATGTACGTCTTGTGTATTTGCGGCGGCGGGCCTGTGGCTGCGTAAAGCTGTGCGAGGCTATGTGTACGGCCATAACCACATTTTGTTGCGTCGATTGGGGTCGCCCTCCGCAGTGGTAGCGGTGGGCGCCCTGTCGGGGGATTCCGGGGGTGCGGTTCCCGGTACATGGGGCTGCCGTGTCGTATCTCAATGCTTTGGCCTCGGGCCTAAATCGAATGCCGGCTCCTGGTCCGGTCCGATATCAAGTATGATATCACCTGGCTGATGGACGCCTGTCCACGCCCACACGGCCATGCTTGGCACATCTTGGCACATCTCTACTTGGCGTCGTTCGATCGTCGTTTTCGCTGAGCTTCTTGGGTTTCACATGGGTGCAGGTGAAGGGCAAGGGCTGCAGCGCCGTGCTGGAGGGCTGCATGGTGCGCGGGACAGCGTTGGCTGCCGTACAGGCCTCCGACGCCGCGGTGTCGCTGAGCGGGTGTACCCTGGAGGGTGGGTCGGGCCACGGCGTGTGCTGCAGGGATAACGCCGCCGTGACGGCAGCGGACTGCCAGCTGCACCGCTTTGGTGGCGCCGCTGCGGCGGTGCTAGCGGGGGGTTCCCTGGAGTTCACCGGCTGCAAACTCAGCGGCAGCGCCGCCAGTGACGTTGGCGACGACGACGCGGCCACAGCTGCCCTGGATGCGGGTGATGCAGCAGCAGCGGCGGCGGCGACGGCAACGGCGACGGCGGCGGCGGCGGTGCCGTGTGGTCCTGGCGTGTTGGCGGAGGGCAAGGGATCCTCGCTTGTGGCCCGTGGATCATGTTTCCAAGGGTTTCGGAGCCAGGCGGCTCTGGTAGTTACGGCTGGTGCCTGTGTTAGTCTGGAGGACTGCAGAGTGATGGGGAGTTACCAGGGGGCTGTGGTAAGTGAGGGGGTACGGGTAGGAGAGAGGGAGCGGGACGGAGGGAGTTGGAGGGGGGGAGGTGGGCCAGATGGAGTTGGGGGGAAGGTGGGTCAGATTCAGGCACTTGGCCACTTTTATGAGTTCTTTCGTGACCCGTGGGTCGGTGAGAAGGTTTGGCAGTGGCGTGCCACACGATCCATATGGTAAGAAGTGATGAATGAAAACCGTGGTGGCCGTCCCGTTCAGCTGCCGCCAATCTGGTGGTGAGTGCGTCAGTGCTTGCCAGTCAGCCCGTCATAAATCCGGGCCAAAAGCAACACAATAACATCCATACTCAAACCTTTTCCAGCCAAGCCATCTAAGGCCGTGGATCCTTATGATCTATGCCCAGGTGGGCACACGCGGAGGGCGGCTCCTGGCGACGCGTTGTGAGCTGTCCTCTCACACCTCCCACGGACTGTCCATTGGAGAGGGCGCCACCGCTGACCTGCGGGAGTGCCGACTGCAGAGCAACGGCGGCTCAGGACTGCGGGTCGGCGGCGTGGGCTCCATGGCCGTACTGCGCAGCTGCCAGCTATCGGACAACGCCGGCAGCGGCGTCACGGTGGCGGCGGGCGGCATCGCGAACCTGGATAGATGCACGGCCGGCGCTAACGGCATCATCACGGGCGCCGCTGCCGGCGGGTGTGGGGGGGCGGGCAGTGGGTGTGTGGGAGGCCACGGGTTGCACGTGGACGGCGGCGGAGCGCGTGTCGTGGCGCAGCGGTGCGGGTTTTCCGGCAATGCCGGTGCCGGGGTGCGTGTGGGGGCCCTCGGTACCGTACAGCTAATGGGATGTGGCATCTACGGCAATAGCGCAGCGTCGTCGTCGTCGTTGTCAAAGAGCCAACATCGTCGGGGTCACAGCGGCAGCAGCGGCGAGGGCGACGCTGCAGTTGTGTCGGTCGAAGCCGGGCCAGGGTTTGCGGATGCGGATCTGGGTGCTTGTGGCGGGGAGGAAGGAACCGCGGGAGGTGATACGGGTGGCACGGGTGTTGAGGTGGAGGTGGAGGCGCACGGCCGTATTTCGTTGACCGGGGGATGTGGCTGGGGGCCTACGTCTGGGGCAGACGGTGGCGGCGGTGGAGGTGGTGGCGGATGTGTGGTGGCTGCAGCAGGGGGCCCGGAGAGGGGCTTGTTGGTGGCGGGGTTGGGTTGCTTGGAGCGGTTGGAAGGTGGCTGAGACGGGTTACTTGTTGGTGGAGGTCGGATGTTGGTGGTGGGCTTGGAACAGAATATTTTCGCGTGTGTGTATGTGTGTGTGTGTGTGTGTGGCGGAGGAGATACAGAATTGGGGGGGTTGATGGGTGGGTGAGGAGCTTTACCGCGTGCCGGGATACATGATATAGGATATCATGATATCCTATATCATGTATCAGGTAATGGGGAAGGCAACACGGGTGGTATTGGGTGTATATGTGTGTGTGCTCGTTGATCATCAATTGGATCTGAAGCTGGTCAGAGACAGCGTGGGTTGGTAGGCAAGAGCAAAGGTAAGGGGTAATTTCTCGTGTTTGTGTTTGTGTGTTTTGGGAGGAGGGGATTATTTATACCTGCGTGTCAGTTCGTGGCGAGATATAGGACTTGGGAAACTTCTGTTATGGTATGTACGTATGTATGTATGTGTCATTCAGCGTGTCTTCTGTGAGCAAAGCGCGGTGGTTCCTGAACTTGCTTCGAAAACGGACCTTCCTAAAGGTGCGGTTATTGTGTGTATGAACGTATGTATGTTTGTTTGTGTATTGCCCATGTGGTCGAGGGTGCGTCAACCCCGTACGTACCTGCAAAACCGCGCATACGAACCATGAAGGAGCCAGGGGTATGAGTGTGTGTGTATGTGTGTGTGTGTAGGCTGTCCCGGAGAACAGTCTGGGGCCGGGTGTGGTCGGCACGGTGCGGTGCCTTCAATTGCTCTCACGTGTGCAGCTCTATTGGCAGGTCCCCTAATATTGCAGGTCCATTATAATAGACCATTCTCGCAGATTTCCTCCCTTCCCTCGCGACTTTGAAACTGGCTGGCTGGCTGGCAGCCCCAACATGACGGGGGGTTAGAAAGGGTGCAGGGTGCGCGGACGATAAGGTGGGCAAAGGCCGCTCATCGAGCTCATCAACGGCAGGACCGCGAAACGGATCTTATGGTTGTTGGAATTGGTGCGGGAAGTCGGGAACATTTGCGCGACCTTATGCTTTTAGTTGGTTGAGCCTATGGTGTTTATCTATTTGCGGACCTTACTTGATTATTTGCGGACTTGGTTTATTTCTTTTTGCGTTGCCTTGTTTTTTTTGCGCTTGCTGAGGAGAAGACAGCTGAGGCAAAGAGCTGGAGAGGAGGGTGCGTGTGGTTTCCATTCTGCGTTCCGTTGGCTGGGCCACGGCCTGCAGCGTGCCCCAGCAGCCACGGCAGTTACCCTACCCAACAGCTAGCCAGCCCACTTGCGTTGGGGTAAATTGCGAAGACAGGAGAGTGAGGGACACATGTGGATGTCATTTTTTCAAAACGTGTTGAGAAAGGTCGCTCACTAGTGCAAAAACGGCTGGAACACTCCACTAGTGGGGACACATGATTACGTACGGACCGGTTTTTCCATGACAAGTACCGCTCTACCTTGTGCAGGCGTTATTATATTAATCAAATCTTGAAAGAGATCGATATGGAGAACAAGATACATAGAGGAAAGTTTCGTTAGCGCTTTACCGCGGGATGCTCCAGGGCGATATGTGGCGGGTCACACACGGTTGGTGCAGTTTTGGTTTTTAGGGTAATAAAAGCCCTTCTCTCCAGGTAAGACATGGCTTGACGTCGCGACCCAACACAAGAGCGACCGCCTCAGCACATGCCCTTTCCACCCACCTACACAAGCTTATCTCGAGCCTCCTTGGTTACTCTAGCAGCAGAAACCATTTGGGACCGATGAGTAATCGGAAAAGAGCCCGCCGTTCTACCGTCTCCCACAGACGACAGAGAGCGCGTATACTGTAAGTACACAGGACAGCCCCTCTGCTGCCGCCGCCAGCAGCTGCTTCCTGCCCCGAGGTCCTTCCACCGCCTTCCATGTCCATCATGTCACCTGTATGTGCATGCAGCACCGCAGCGCGCCAGTGCCACCACCACGTAATGCCGTCTCCTGTCCGTGTGGTCCGTGCGGTACTTCCGACACATCTCATGCACACTCTTTCGGCGGGATATCATCGATCCCGCCGCCACCCAACCAAAAGCTACAGCTAATTAAACTACGGCCTCCAACATCCCATTAGTGCTTTATTCGCCTGGACTCCACACCCACAGGGCCGTCGAAAAGTAAGCAATGGTGGCGGTTGTGGCGATGTGGAAGAGAGGGCTGTGCTGCCGCATTCTTGTCATTTGGGTCCAGCCAGTAACGCTCATGTCGCACAGCGGCCGCATGTCTCAATCGGTGGACACTGGCGGTGTTGCTGTTGTTGTTGTTGTTGTTGTTGGCGATGGCGGTGGCGGCACATTCGCCAGATCCTCTAGCAGCACCCGGTCAATGGTGGTTAGAAGTTCCTCCGCTCCGAGACCAGCTGCCAGGGCGCCCAGGCGGGCTGACGGGGGGTTCCCAGGAGGGCCGTTGGGCAGCAGAGGGTGCCAAGGAAAACGACTAATCAGCAAAATCGCGAGTTGAATGCGCCATGGGTCATCAAAGCACTTAGCAGAGGGAGCTGTGCAAATCAGTAGTAGTGCAAATACTCTTTTAAATTTAACCTCAATATTTTAGCCCTACGGACACACACTCATACACGCATCCGCAAGATCGTCAATGGTGTGATAATCTGTACCAAGCCAAGTCCAGTCGCAACACGGAAAGCGCTGTTAAGCAGAAGGCCAATTCAAGGCTGGTCAAGTACTCAGGAGGGGGAATACAAACTGGACCTCACGCCTTCCAAGACACGCAACCCCGCAACCCACGCTACACCACCTGACAAGCCTCCACCACCGTTGTGCGTCTCCCGCCGATCAATCCATTGCGCCGCTTGCTGCCGTGCGCCCAACTGCCCAAGTCGTACCGCCGCCGTCGCCATGTCGTACCGCGGCTCCGAAACTGTTCCACGCACCGGAACCAGCAGCAGATACCCCGGCGGCAGGCCCGCAGCCCCCAGCCCAAGCGCCGCCAGCAACGGCGCCGGCGACACGCCCACCGTAAACTGTAGCTCGTCGCGTTGAAGGTCGGCACCACCCCACGCTGCCAGGTGCACACCGCCTCCGCCGCCCCCCGTGCCAAGGTGCATATCCACTCGTTCCGTCTGCATACGGCCATGCCGGTTGAAGTGCACCTTCATGCGAGATACCGACACAGTGTTGAGGGGGCGATCCGTGTGACTGCCGGCCCCGACACCGTCGATATCGGCGGCGCCGCCACTCGCAACTGAAGCGGAGCCAGCGGCAGCGACAGCGGCCGTCGCCGCCGCCGCCGCCGCCATGGTCCTTCGAGTCACTCCGACGAACCCCGGTGCCGACATCTCCAGGTCCCCAAGCAACTTCGACGCGAGAGAGGAGGGACCCAACTCCAGGGAAACGGGCTCCATCTGCATGTACGGATGACGTACGGATAGAGTACGAATATCATATAACAGTACGACGAGGGTTGGGGTGTTGTGCGTTCACTAGGGGTGTATCCCATGGGCCGGACGAGCGCTAACACATGTTGCCCGCACCCCGGTCCGCGCGCGAATACGAGCCTGAGGGGGCCGGGGGGAGGGGGACGACGTGGGGCAGCGACAGCCCCACACGGAGCACGTCGCACACGTCGCCAAGTCCCGCCGCACTCCATGTTTCGCAACTCGTTTTGCGACCTCCCCCCGCACATCACCCGCATAAAAGAAAATTGCCCCCCATCACTCTCGTGCCATTCAAGTGACGTCTGTCTGTCTGTCTTTCTGTCTGTCTCTCTGTCTGTCTGTAATGCAGACGGCGACGGAGCTCATCGGCCAGGACACGCCCTGGGAACAACCCCCCCGGCCGCCCAAAGCTGAATTTTCTGCCGTACCTCCACGGTGGCTGCATGGTACGGCAGTCGTCCACCGTCAGGGTTGAAGGTGCCGCTCAGTCTGCCGCCGCCGCGCACCTCCACCACGTTGCCGAGCAGGGGGTTCGCGGCGGCTAGAGCCAACCTGCAGTACGACATCACAGTGAACAAAAGAAAGATACAGCTCTAAAATCAAGTCTAAACGAATCCAAACAATCTCTATTCGTTACGTGAAGTTGATAAAAATCCGAGATCCAAGATCTCCCCAAGCCAACTGGATCCAGATTCCTCGTGCTGGCTCCTTTCTCACACGTCACACCTGGACAGAGCCGGAGTCAAATCCAAGCTGGCAGTGGCGGGCTGGTGCAGCAGGGCGTGGTCGGGGGCATCCCACAACCTTATCTCACCGCGAAGGTGCTCGGATAAAACCTCAGGGACAAACAGACAGACAAACAGACAGACAGCGGTAGAGGTTAGGATATGAGAGGTGGTTTCCTTTCCACCCGCCGGAGGTGGAACCCTTTCGTACTACGTGACGCCATTTCCCCTCCGCCACCTCTTCTTCGCCGCCTCCCGCCTCCGCCTCCGTAATCCCCCACGGGGCCTCCGTCCCCGCCCCCAACCCCCAGTAAAGCAAAAGAGGATCAGGCGGGAATATCCCAGCGACCTCAGCAGCCGCAGCTCCCCTCCCACATTCGTATACACACGTAACCCACACATACACACATACAGACACGCACACAACATACACACATAGAGACACGCTCGTTACGAGGGGACCTTAGCCGCCGCCCACCGCCCAGTGACCCCTGTTCTGCTCTAAACCCCCGCTGCCGCCACCTCCTCTCTCTACCAACGCCCGCCTGGAAAGAAGATATTCTTCTGTGCGCAATTCTCCCCCTACCACCACTGCATGACTGCTGGACTTATTGCTTCGACAAAGGCGGTTGCACCAGCGGTTGCACCAGCGGTTGTACCTCCAACCACCAGGCACCAAAACACCTCAGGACGACCTGCATCTGACACCAACACCAACACCATGACGCACAACGCACAGCACACCTGGATCACCCCCGGCCGGTACAGCCCGGGCCGCCGCAACACCTCAGCAGGGGGAGGTAGCGGCGGCGGCGGCGGCGGTAGCGGCGAGGTGGTTACAGCGGCCCCGGCGGCGGCTGTAGCCCCGCGGGCCCCGCTGCTGCCGCCACCTCCCACCCCGCCGGTCGCACTGGCAGCTGATGCTCTCTCCGCCCAGCTCCCGTCCTCCCCCACCTCCTCCGCCCACTCCCGCAGCTCGCGCTCCCCCACGGCCCCCGTAACGTGCAGTCGGGGACCTAGGATTTGCCTGTTACAATGGGCAGTTGGCAGTTGGCAGTTGGCGGTTACAGTTGCTTCAGGGTCGGTTGGGATCTCAGCACATCGGGGGCTCAAGAGGGCAAGGTCGACAAGGGGAGGGGTGGTGAATGTCGGGATGGCATTGTAGTGTGTTGGTGCCTAACGGGCTTCTCCGGCCTGCCTGCCGTACACCCGTCGTACTTTCCGTACCTGATTTCTTCCGGAACCAGCAGCAGTCCATCCGCCACCACCAGGTTCATCCTTCCCATCCGTACATCCGCATGCAGCTCCATCTTGCTGTTCACTCGCGCCAGCACCCCCAATACCCGTCCAGACTGTCCTCCTCGTCCTCCTCCTCCTCCTCCTCCTCCTCCACCACCACCACCACCACCGCGCTGCTGCTGCTGCTGCTGCTGCTGCTGTGTTTGCATCAGCGCCTTTCCTCCTCGTTGCTGATCCAGAACATCCTGGCTCCCCTGCTGGCCTTGCTGCTCCTCCCCCGTACAGAGGGGCTGTACTGCTGCTGCTGCTGCTGTTACTACTGTTGTTGTTGTTGTTGGTGTTGGTGTTGGTGGCGGAGGTCTCATCAGCCCCACCCCCTCCAGGAAGTGGACCAACTTGAAGTCAGAGATGCGAGGGTCGTAGATGGCGTTGACCCAGGGCTTGGAGACGACCAAGTTGTAGCTGCTACTGCCTAGGGCGGGTTGGGTGGTGGAGGCGGAATGTGGGAGGATGATAGGGCGGGGGAGGAGGGGCCATGTGTATGTGTGTGTGTGTCCCGTGTGTGTATCGCTGCGCCCAACCCACCTCTGGGTCCCTTTACCTTAAGACGCCGAAGTTCCCATCTCTCTTTCCTTCGTATCCCAGCCAGCTCCCACACACACACACGCACACAAATAATAGGTCACGAAACCCAACACGCTCCCCCCTCCCCCGGTCAGTTCGGTCAGTTCTACTTCTTGTACACTCTTTCCATGGCAGCAGCTCCACTGGTTCGTGGTTCGTCTCTCCCCCCTCCCCCCCCTGCCCTCACCTGCCATCAGATGCCACAGCCCGGACGAGCTGCTGACCTTGTTCAGGTGTAGCAGGATCTGTCCGCCCCGAGGACTGTCGTACACCTTGACGCACTGGAGCTCGTTACCCCCCAGCCAGCTGAGCTGAGCCCCCGCCACCTCCACACGGCCTGACGGGGGAGAGGAGGGGGAGGGGGAGGGGGAAGAGCCAACCCAACTATATATGACCCAAACCAATAGGTCACCGTCTCATGATCCACAAGGACTCAATCTCCCTCACCCACACGAACATACAGCAGCAGCAGCAGCAGCAACAGCAACAGCAACAACAACAGCAGCCGCGCAGCAGCAGCCGCAGCAAGGTGCCAGACATCACCCCTGACATGGACACCTCTCCCCGCACCAAGTATAGGGCTATAATCTGCCGTACGTCCCCTAAGTCCCGCTGTAAGCCCCGCTGTGGGGCAAGAGCCGCCGCCGCCGCGGAGCCCCACCGACCCACCGGGAGGTTGCAGCTGTGTATTGAGGAGCTCCATCGCCCCCTGGAGCCCCCACTGAGTGGATAACACACTGGGCAGCGCAGCAGCAACCAAACCTGCGCGAGGGGGGAAACATATGCGGGAAAGGGGGAAGTTAACTGCCGATGTGCGCGAGGGGGAGAGGAGGGAGGGACACAGGCACATGATGTGCCGCGAAACACACACAATAGAAAAAACAGGAATCCCCGGCTCAGAGCACAGCTCTTCTCCCACCCCCCACGCACACATATACAGCAGCGGCGGAGCAGCGAAGCGCAAAGATGTGAGCGGGGCCAGCAACCCCTCAGCACTTCCTCAGATGCCTGGGGGTTGGTCCCCTCCTCCTCCCCCCTCTCCCTCCCCAACACTTTGAGGTACCTGTGGCGCCCAGTAAGCCCGCAGTAACCTGAAACACACGTCGCAGCCAGATGCTGGCACCGGAGGGTGGCAGACGGCCACCGCCACCGCCGCTGCCGCCGCTACCACCGGGCGGCGGAGGCCGGGTAGGTGGGTTGGGTGGTGGAGGGGGAGGGGGAGATGAGGGGGATGAGCATCTGCGCGCGGAACCGGGTCGGGCTGGGGGGGGCACACAGGTGCGTAGGGTGCGGGAGGGGGGAGCCGCCCGAGGGATGAGGGTGCACGCCAGCAGATACCGGGTAGCGGATAGTTTGGGTTGATAGATGTGTTTAATGTTACTACCGCAGATTTTGAATGGATTGGGGTTTGAGGCATCATCCCGGGAGTCGGTCGCTACACACCTGTCGGAGAAGACAGTTGCTGTGAAAAGGGGCCGGACCGCATAGCCCGAAGATGGTGTTGCATAGGTGACAACATAACGATTAGCGTTTAGTTGCTCAATGAGAAGCGCCCTGCTTGCACCACGTTTTCTCGTCCCTGTCGTAAGACTGAGTCAATGCTAACTTGTGTATCGGTGCACATCCGATGCCCTTACCATCGGTGGGATAGCCGGAGACAAGATTCGCTCATATGTACGCGAGAAAACTTCGTTGGCTGCCGATCGCAAGTGGCGTACGACAGGTGAGCATTAATGTTATCAACACCCACAGTAGGGAATTTTTGATACATCTACAATCATATGTTTGTCTCATAATCGGGATCCATTCTCTGCGATCACTTTTAGCCAGCGGCTTGAGAGCTTTCAGCAACATCACGCGCGATTGACAGGAACTCCATAGTTTCTTTCATCTATGGCAAGCTTAAGGGTTTCGCATAACTGTCGACATGTTGACCGGCAGCGACTAACGCGCTTGGCGGTTGCAACACCTCGGCGCGCGGTGATGGTCTCTACCCAAGCCAGCTTACAGACCCAGCAGTATACTAGGGTCCAACTGAAGACCCGCCAAGATTGCGAGCTTGCTGTGAGCTTCTATCCGCGGTTCCGGTATAACGCTCTGGGCGGAGGTGGATGGGGCACCGTCACCGACGTTGGGTGAGAACTGCGAAACTGAAAGCCCTCCCTCATGCCTGCTCCGCGGTGCGCGGACTTGGAGTAACAAGCCAAATCCTTACTTGGCATGGGAAAGTTACGAGGATTGCGTGAGCACGCCGGGCGAGCATACGCCCGGAAGCTTGACACCAACAGTCGTAACACAGGGCCGGTCAGTCTCCTGCGTGACAATATATTTGGGTTTGCTTGTTGTCTTTGTTGTCCTACGAGAAACGCACGATTCGCAGTTCGACAACAGTTTCCACCAGTTATCGTATTCTCCCCGTCCTGGTAGTTACATGTATGTCCTGTACGTCGCAATCTTATCGGAAGTGCACTCTTGCCCAGCTGATTGAATTATATAACAGCCATACGATTCTCTTAGCACCGGAGCCGCTGTCAGGCTTTCTGATTTAAAGCCGCCCCACGTAGGTTAAGGGATTCCTGCTCCGGTTTCCAGAGGTCAAGAGGCGACAGCGCACTGCGTCGGCTTGTGTTTAACGCTTCTCCATTTCAGCGCGTATTGCATCGTTCTAGGGCTCTTCGGCTGGTCGAAAGCCGCGGCATGCTTTTGCACACTCTGCCATTTACTTTATGCAGATACGTTTTCCCTTTAACCTTTCCCTCCTCCTACATCACATTCTCCCCATTACCCCCCCTCCTCTGCGCTCATCCTACCCCTGCCCTGACTGCTGCTGCTGCCGCTGCTGTTACTCCAGGGACGGGAAACTACACCTATCCTTTGATACCAGCGTATTAGTCATCCCGGACATGTCGTACCGTACGGCCTTTCTGATGGGTCTGTTGCCCATTCCTCCGCCGCTTAACATCGCCATCCGGCCAGTATCGCTTGAGGTGTGTGTTTCTACAGCACTCGAGCCGGCTGACGCCCCTTATGGCACGGCCTCTTCATCCTTTCCCTCCCTCCCCCCTTCCCCCTCCTGACTGGTTTTGGACGTTAAGAGGGAATAGCTGAAGGGGGGAGGCGAGGGCGAAAGGCACAAAGTGAACGGGGGGACCGCGGGGGGCACAGAGGTGTGATTTGTGGTGGTGATCAGCGCAAAAGGGGGCCTCCGGTGTGCTGCTGTCCCCCTTGGATGTTTTATTATTCTGAGGGTACACGAGGGTACGTGACTGACATCATCGGTACCGCAAATAGCCCAGCGACAATTTCCAAGCGCCTTGCGCGCGTGTGTGTGAGAGGCATTTTATGCAAGGAGACATGCACTTAGGAGACTGATTACCAAACTGAATGGCTGTGGGATGTTGTTGGGTGATGGCGCACTTATGTTCCTGAACTGCACCCGGACGCGGCCCAGGGCATTCTGGACACGGTCACGGGGGAGGTCAACCTCAACTTCGAGTCCGACTTCTACTTCACGGCGGGAACCATCTACCAGCCGCCCGGGCTCAAGGTGCGAACACACGGCAACGAGGACGACACGGCTACGGCCAGGAGAGACGGGAAGAGCGCCAAAGCCGTCATGACCTGAAAGATGCATTTTTAATGTCTAACTAGTAGTCGAGGAATCAAAATTTAGGAAAAAAAATCCAACCCTTGCAAAAACAATTGTAGGTTTTTGGAATGCGTCTACTGGTCCCTCTACTTCTCCTTTTAATCCTATAACTTAAAATCCATTTTCCTATCCAGCAATCTTTTTCGTTAGGCCATTATTCTTCGTATCTACCATGATGATCGAAAAAAATCCTTCTTCCGGAAACATTTGATACGCTGCTCCCTGTAACTTTATACGAGGTAGAGATGTTTCTAAGGATGCGAAATCATGGCCAGCATTACAGGTTAGGGATTTTACATCATCTTATTAAAATACGCAGCAGCAGCTGTAGCAGAGAGGGAAAGAAGGTTGTTCCGCAGAGGCTGCCGGCCACATGCTCCCCCTCCCCGAGTTGGTTTGTGCCTCCTCACACCTCCTTCCCTGGAGCTGACCTGTCCACGGGACGCCTCCACGGGACGCAGAATTCAACAACCGGCAACCAGCAGCAATGTTAATGAACCAAAATCCATCAAGGCCTGTGTTGCACATGTATAGGGACGACATTCATAGGGACGCAGACGCACTTGGCGGCGGCAAAAGGGTATATGTATGTATGTTTGTATCTATGTAAGGGGAGTCCAGGTGTGCCACAATAACCAGGTGGTGGTCCGCAAGGGTGATCCGCAAGGCCGAAAAAAAGCCTCCCCCGGTGCCGCCACGACCGTGTACCCCGGCCTCCCTTCCGGTGCCATTTTACCGGTGCCCTCTTCCCCCCATGTATTCCTGATGCAGTGTACCTGTGTCTAATCCTGGGCCATCCGTCTATGTCTGGTTTCTGCTTCAATCGTGTCAGTGGTCCGTCTTAACCCGCTCATGCCGGCAGTTGATCCTTTGTTTCTGTCCGCGAGTACGACTTCCGCCTTCGGACGTCAACACCATTCTTTTACGTTCTGCTTATTATACTTCCTCTCCTCCCGGGGCCTAACCTATCCAGCCGGTTTCTTTCCGTCCCCAGCCCTTTTTATCCCAACGCGCCCTCCCTGGTGCTCCACTGTGTGCTGCACACACGCGCCTCTGCATCCCACCGATTTGCACACTCACTCACCCACACTCACTCACCCACACTCACTCACACTCACTCACACTCACTCACACTCACTCACACTCACACTCACTCACACTCACTCACACTCACTCACACTCACTCACACTCACTCACACATGCCGCAGATCCGCACGGTTCTGACGACAGAGAGCACCCGGGGTCGCTTCCTGTCCGCCTCGGGTAGGCGGCTGGTGGGCAGCAGCGGTGTACTGGTGGGCACCGCCACAGTGGAGGCCGTGGGGGACGGCTTCATGGACACGTTCCTGCAGCTGCCCAACGACGCCCTGGCGGTCATGAGCTGCGATTTCGTGTTCGAGTAGCAGAGAGAACGGCCGGAGAGAGGGGCAGCCGCTTGGCTGGCTGGAGAGACGAGCCTCTTTGCATCCTGTTGCACCTTTTTCATGAACTTGGCGGCGATTTAATGACTTGGGAGTGGGTGCAGATGAGAAGTTTTGGTCTGATTAGATTGTTAAACGCTTGGACGAGATCGTGGACGAGATTTTGGACGAGATCTTGGACGAAATGACGCGAGAGCTTGGACGAGGATTATTGAGAGGGGACTTGGGCGGGTACGGGGTGGATACATGCGGGTTGCGCAGGGCTTGGGGCTGCGAGGCCGGATGCTGGGGATTGCTTGGGAGCGCGGTTGAGTGGGTAGGTGAGCGTGGGTAGGTGAGCGTGAGCGTTCTTGTGTGCGTGTTGTGTGCGTGTTGTGTGCGCGTTGTGTGTGTGTGTGGGGGGGGGGTGAAAAAATAAGGAAGGGGTGGTGTGACTGACTTGGCTTAGCGATTTGGCTGACGGACTGAGAGAGGTCCTCCGGGCTGTGGCGCCATTTACCCCTTAGGTGCTGTGCGGCGGTGCTGTGTGGCGGCAGCTAAGAGGCGGAATGCGTAGGGTGGTGACCTGGCACGTATGTTTTACGGGGTGTAAGGAAGGGAATCGGACCATGGAATAAAAAGAGATGTCCGGGGCCAGTTGGGGATTGTGACATGGTCTCTGGGTCCATGCGTGTGCGTGCGTTAGGAGGGCACTTCGTATGTATATGTATGTGTGTGTGCGTGTATATGTGTGTATGTGTGTGTGCGCGCGTAGAAGGAAAAGGCGTAGCTGTCTGACTCAACCTCGGGGTCTATGGGGACCCCGAGGTTCTTGAATTGGCGTTGCGACGTCGGTGGGGTGGTGCGATGTGTGTTGGAAAATTGATCTCCTGCATATTTAATTTCCGAGGTGTTTGAGGCGTGCGCTGATGATGATTTGTTTCAAAGTTACCGGTCAGCATCGGTGATTTTTTGAAAATCCAAATTAATGTTAACCTGTTCAGATTGAGTAATAATTGCAGCGACTATTGGTCCATATTGTCCCATATGGATTGCACTTCGCATATCGCACAGGTGTGGGGCTGCGAGTATATCGGTTGACGGACCAACGGCCAACCGGCTGCTGGGAGCATGCACGATGCATCGTCCACCGTGCAGGGTGCCAAATTGCCATCACAGTTGTAGACTTCATATGGAGGATTGCCGGAACCTGAGCTTTGCCTGGTTGTGCTCGATGCCTCGATGCCAGCCACAACGCTCAACTTCAATGAACACAAGGAAAGGACGCTTGGTCAAGTCAACGAAAATATTTTTCAGGCGTTAGGTGTGTTTCATGTGCGCTGTTTGGATACCTATCTAAGCAACGGCTGCGGCTTTTGTGGCATAAGGTTGCCTACTTCCGAAGGTTAGGCAATGCAACAACAAGAAAAGTAAGACACCATCTGTATGAAGCGAGGGACAGTGATTAGTCGTATGGCGTATACGTCCAGTTTGCAGGGACGCAGGACTTAGGTGCTTTAACATGTTGCTGTTTAGGGTCTAACAGCCTAAACGAATTAAGACGAAGTGAAGCACATGATAACTTTTATTGCCTTCGGGTACTTTTTAATGACTTTTGCAGAGAAGTACAACCGCACTCAATGCCGTTCTTTCGGAATGTCAAGGCTCTGCCCGAGTTACTAAAAAAATACACCGCAATTTATTGAGATGCGGTTTCTCCACGGAAATCCATATGTACCTAGAGCGATTAAGGATAACAGCTCGTGAAATGTTTCCGCCGTACAATGTGCGGAAGTCTTAATGGAGGCGGGTGACCGCATAAGAACATGTAACAATAGAGCGTATACATATTGGCGATATTGCTTGTCAAACATAGGCATAGCGTAAACTAGCCTGGCAAATCGTTGTTCGGACCCAGAAACGGCCTGTCGCCGTTGACTCGGAAAAGCATGCCCAACTCAGTGCTACGATGCAAACAATGAATAAATCTCTCCATTTCAAGAAGATGCGTCGTGACCCAGTCGTGCGATAGTGCCGCCGTTTCTGGTACAACAACTTACTTGCACCTGGATAGATATTCAGCGATGACGCACATGCATCCTTTTGTTTTGAATTTTTGAGCGATAGCCTTCAGGAGCTGCAGCTTCTAGCTGTTATGGCACGCATTTTCCCGTAAGGGTTCCTCCAGCGCGAGCCGTCTGTACTCATCCGTTCGGAGCCCAGGGCTGCGATAAGCTCCATTTAAATTTTCAAATTCTTTTGACATGGGAAATGTAGTCGGAATATCTGGGACATCACTTCTTGGTGCTATCGCGGAGGGAGACGCCGATGCCGCAGTGGAGGTCTTACAGGGCCATCCCGACCTCACGCACAAGCGCCTTGGCAGCAAAAAGCGCACACTCTATCATTTCTGCGCAGCGAAAGGTCAAGTTACAGTCCTGAAAGGCCTGTGCGAGCATGTCTGGCGTACGGTTCCCGACGAGAATGGCGAGCTGGCGGGCGCCGACGGCCCAGTGCCCAAACGACAGCATCCCGCCATATGCCAGTACATCAATGCCTGTGACCAAAAGGGCCTTACACCGCTATCTCTGGCCTGCAAGAAAGGCTACGCAGAAGTGGTCACTTTCCTCCTTACTCAGGTAGGATAGCCTCACGCAGGAAAATATCGTACCTTCTCCCGTCGGAGCTCATCTCAGACATCACCATTTGACCACACCCTGTCCGCATCTGACTTGCAAGCTGCTCCATGCAGAAATCCTGACACAGCTCCCTCCGCCCACTGCAGCCGCCTTGCCGGTTTCGGCGCGGGTATCTCCAATCCGCATGTTCCCTGAAATTGCATCCTTGCCACTGCCATGCCACACGCTCCAAGCGCACGAACTCGCCCACCCCATCCATCCATCCACCCACCCAACCTTACACCACGTCATCCTTCTAGGGAGCCGACCCGTGGGTCAAGGACCGCGCCATGGGCCGTACGGCGCTGCACCACGCCGCCCGCGGCAACCATGTCCAATGTATCGAGGCTGTCCTGTCAAGTCCCTTCGTCAAGCTGCAAGCGGGCAGTCCGGGCGATGCGCCCCAACCAGCAGGCAGCAAGTGGGTGATTTGCCACCGTTAGTGTTGATACATCGCGTTTGCGGCATTGTGTTTGAATGGCCTGCCTGGGTAGGTGGGCCGAGACCGCTGAAGGGAATAGCAGCTGAATAACCCCTGAGTGAGCCCTAACGCCCAAATCCATCCATCCATCCATCCATCCATCCATCCTTCCACCCACCCGTCCACCCATCCATACATACATACATACATCCACCCACCCACTCACCCACCCGTCCACCCATCCATCCATCCACCCACCCACTCACCCACCCGTCCACCCATCCATCCATCCACCCACCCACTCACCCACCCGTCCACCCATCCATCCATCCATCCACTCACCCACCCGTCCACCCATCCATCCATCCATCCACCCATCCATCCATCCACCCACCCGTCCACCCATCCACCCACCCACTCACCCACCCGTCCATCCATCCAATCACAACCACCCACCCACTCACCCACCCATCCATCCATCCATCCATCCACCCACCCACTCACCCACCCACTCACCCACCCATCCATCCACCCACCCATCCATCCATCCACCCACCCACTCACCCACCCATCCATCCATCCAATCGCAACCACCGCGATGTAGGTTAGTGGACCATCCAAGTAGGGCGGGCTACACGCCGCTCCATTACGCCGCCGCAGCGCATTCCATCGAAGCAGCTGCAGCGCTTCTGCGCCACGGCGCCGACCCAAACGCCAAAACGTCCGAAGTGGGATTCGAACACGTGGTGCTGGAGCGCGGCAGCACGCCAATGCACGCCGCCGCGCGCTACCAGAACCTGGACGTAGCCATCCTCATCCTGCGGCACTGGAACGAGAAGCTGCGGCGGCTGGATGTCACCGATCCACGAGTCGTGGAAAACGTGCCCCGCATTAAGCCATACCAGATGCCCGGCGTGAAGCTTAATAGGGCCCTGATGCGGGTGCTGGATCCAGGGACGCCCATTCGCCAGGTCAGCGACGCATCTGGCGAGGGAACGTGGTGGCCCCGAGTGTCGAGCCCGCCCGGAAAGGAGCCTCCACCACCCTCGCAGGAACCCCAGCCGCCGGAACGGTCCTCGAACCAGCGAAGCACGGGCTCAGGTGCCCATCGCCAGGTGAGGCCATAGGGTTTGGAAGTCCTTTTTTTAAAGCGTTGACATTCATTATAGCAGAAAGTAAAGCTCCAAAAGACAGAACTTGACTTCATGAAGTCATGAGGGACCAAAGGGGTTCCCCTTTCGGGGAAGACACCGATAGGAATGAACGGCTCTTCTACTGGGAAGGGAGAAGGTTTTAAACCACCGGAGAACGGCGGAGAATAGGGGACAAGGAAGGAAAGAAGGAGGAACGCAGGAGATGGGGGGAGATAGGGATGGCTCCAGCTCCACCTCCTTGCATGCATCTGCCGTGTGTGTATTCCCTGCGCTGCCCACACTCGCATACCGGCCTGGTGACCGCACTGACATCATGTGCTGTGCGGTGCTTTACTGTGTCTTGTGTTTGTCGTCCTGCTATTTACCACCACTATGGTTCTTTTTCAGGAATCGACCAGGCTGTCAGGCAGCGGCAGCGGTGGTGCTGAGGAGCCGGGACCGGGACCGGGGACGGGAACTGGGGAGGGGGCAGCCGGGGGCCCATCATCTGGGGCTGGCGGTCAGATGCGTCGGCGGGCTAGCTCGGGAGCGGAACCCATCCCAGTGCTGGATGAGCTGCCGGGCTGGGCGCAGCTCGGCAGCAGCCGCCAGTACGATAATAAGCTGATTGAAAACTCGAAGGTATGCCAAGCACACCTAAAACTCTTACATGTTGCTTTCCCTCCTTCTTCACGGTATGTCTGTATGTCCGTTCGTCTGCCTGTCTGTCTATCCGGGTTTTCCTGTACTGAACGAGCCGCCCCAGAACGGACGGATCGCCCTCACATTTGGTCCCCATTACCGAGCCTTCCTACAAGGCCGTGTGTGCCCTTTTCAGTCTTCTCAGCGGCCTCCCTCCCTCCCACCCTCCCTCCCACCTCACCGTCCTGCACGCGCCTCTCACCTTCATAAGACACGCCCTTCTCCTGCGCCACTGAGTGCAGGTGGAGATGGAGATGGCAGCAGGAACCGCAGCAGCAGGGGGGGACGAGGAGCTGTCGGAGTGGCTGCCGGGAAATCCCGGGGGCCCATCCCGGGGGGGCGATGATCAGCCGCCAGGCAGCAGTGCTGGGGAACGCCCCATACGGTGTGACTGTACGGCAATTACCGGGGTAACTTGAATTCGAGCCGGTCGCAAGGGGAAGCTTAAAGCTTCGGGTTTGGACGCTGTGGACAAACACCACAGATCGGGTACATGCACCTGGATGCAAGTACGGCATCACAGTCCACGTATGGTTTGGTTGGGTGTGGTCGAATTTGTGTTTTGTATGTGCATGTGCGTGTATGCATGTATGTTTTGCACATCTTCAACACCGGGTTGGTTACGCTATCAACATCGACACAAGCACGGCCATCAGCAAAACGCAAAAACAAGCTGCACAAAATTACGCTGGTCCCATTACGTGTGTGTGTGTGTGTGCCTCTCTCGCTCTCTCTCTCTCGTGGGTGCAGGCGCAGCTTTGCTGTCTCGAACATCTGGGCGCCCTCCTCTTCCTCGTTCAAGGCCACCGCGTCCGCCTTCGCCATCCCCGGCGGCGGCGGCGGCGGCGGCGGGGCTAGTGGCTCGCTTTTTGGTAGCGAACGAAGCCCACCCGACATCCCCCTGGCGTCGCCCTCCCGCTCCAGTGCCAAACGCCCCACGCTGTCCCACCCGACCATCCTCAACCAAGCCGGAGGCGCAGCCTCCGCCGCCAACGGACCCATGGGTCGCTCCAGATCCGGCGCCATCGTCCCCGTGCCTCCCTCATCACCCATCAGCCCCGGCCCTAGCCCTGGCCCGGGCGCCAGCAGCTCACGAGACCTTCACAGGACGCGGTCCCTCCCTCACCACCCGACCACTTCAGCTCCTTTTCCGGGCGCCACAGCCGGTTCACCCTTTTCACAAACACCCCAACTCGCCACAGTGTGCGAGGGCGGAGGCCGGGGGGGAGACGGCAGGCCTCCATCCGACCAACACCGTCACTCTCAGCCGCACCGAGGTGCATGGATTGAGCCGTGTGACTCCGAGCCGGGTCCCAGACCGACCGGCGGGTCAGTGCTGGCGGCGGCGGCGCCGACGGGGCGTGTCGCGGCGGCGTACCCAGGCAGGGTAGTGCTGGGTGCTGGCGGCCGGTCCTCCGCGGGGCAACTACAGGTCCATGAGCAGGACAATAACCATGGCGATCAGGAGGATGAGGAGTCGAGTCCGTTCCAGCCCTCAGCAGGGCAGCCGTACGAGCAGCAGCGCCGACAGCGGCAGCTACAGCCGGCCCAGCATCCAGGACTCCAAGGCACGCGGTCGCAGTCGGCATTGTCGCCCAGCGCAGGCGGTGCCGCCGCTGCCGTTGCTGCTGCTACGCTCCGGCAGACACCGCTGTCTCTTTCCCCTCCACTTAAACAGCAACAGCAGCAGCAGCAGCAGCAGGTTGACGGGGGTGAAGGCTCCAGGGAACGGGATTTGCGTAAGTCGTCGTCCGGGGGCCGATCCCTGGCCCGTACACTCTCCAGGAAGCTGTCCTCGCTGTCCGCCCGGGCGGCAACGGCCGTGGTGCCGGCGGTGCGCCGCGACTCCCTGGTACGAGCCGTCAGTCCGGATCAGCCTCCACAGCCGCAGCAGGGGGGAGGAGGCCGCGCAGGCAGCGGCGGCGCCGGAGGCCGCAACGACGGCGGCCCGTCGTCACCGCCGCTGACGGTGTCATCGCGGCCCCCAGCGTCGTCACCACCGTTAACAGGCACAGGTCGCGGCTGGGCCCGGCAGGCCAGCAGCGGTGCCGAGCGGGCTTCACCGCCGCCACAGACCCCGCCACTGCCGGTGCGCTCAGCATTTTAAGAAAGGACCCTAAGGAAGGAAGACCCGCCGGCCTAGCCCAGTTCACCCAAGCCTTGCCCGTCTTGTCCAGGCCGGCGACTGAATGATTGGACTTGCTGTGTGTGCGTGTGTTGCAAAGATTTCCTGTAGCGCCCGTGGTGAAGGTACACATTCCCTTACCTGCTGTGGTGGTAAGAGGCAGTGCTGCGCTTCTTGAGTTTTTTTGCGGCTGCCGGGAAACTATTGACACTGACTTCTCCGTGGCAGCAGATGAAGAATATGACTGGATGGGACCTGAGAATAAGTGTTTTTATTGCACACATCCAAGCGACCCAGACGCGACCGGGAATGGCCAAGAGGTGTGGGTAGGGGATAGGGGGTTTGCAGTGGGCTCCAGGTCCACATGCGTGATCCAACGTGGCTGGTTGGAAAGGAAGAGGGGCGGGTCAGCCGGAGGAGGCGCTTAACCGCTTACATGACTGCAGGATGATTCGTGCACGGCGGCGTGCGGCGCCACGCCGGCGGCACCGCGGGCTCGTTGGTGGCGTGTTTCCAGCATACATTACATTACAATATACCAGCTTCACTGCTTATACGGAAATTTTGCAGTATGTATAAGCAGTGAAGCTGGTTGAGAACAGCGGAAGGGATAAGTATTCGCAATTTGAAGCGTTTTGTTGTACAGGCAGTGACCGGAAACGGTGATTAGCAGCGTATAATTGCAGTAAGCTTTTGCTGAGCTCAGCTGCCCGTACTAATACCTTTAAATTAAAATGCCGGCGGGCTAGCGGGCGCGGACGGGCGCCTTGTGTGTTCATGGTGCACGTATCGTTGTTGTGCGTTAATAGGCTTGCGTGCTGAAGATATGTTTACAACAAGCGGATGGTTTGTATGATGGTGAAGTAGCTCGTGGTGGCATACTGCTCGTTGGCCACTTTTGGGGCCGCCTTTAGACAGTGTTGAACTGCTGGAGGAGGGGAGCAGGTTCCGGAGCATGAGACAGCTAACGTTATGGACCCTAATTCGGTTCGACAAACGATGTTGAGAGGCCTGCAGGCTGCGTTGTCGCTGGGTGAGAGCTTGTTGTTTTATTTGCATGGCGGCATTCAGCTAAAGCACCGCGTCGTCGCCATTACGAACAATATAAAAAATATACGTTTTGCCAAGGTTAACCAAGATTACAAACCCTTGATTTTAGTAACCTTGTTTTTGATAACTATACGTGCATCTGTGTCCTAATTATATGAATTGGGAACACATGTGAATAAGTGAATGACCGAATGACTGAGCAAGCCGGCCGGCCGAGCGAAGTGTGCGGCAGCCGGTTTGGCGCGGCTCAGAAGAATCAACCCTGATTTTAAACCACACACAGCCGCACGAAAGAAGCGGCATGAAAATAAATGTGTGAATTATCAGCGACGCAAGTTAAGCCAAAATCATGTTCGATTTCCGAGAGCTCTCATCGGCGTCATCGCAATGGATCATGAGGCCGCTAAGTTCGCATTCCCGCCTCGCGGGTATGTATGTTGTTACGGGGTGGTATAGCTTCACCAGCGGCCCCCTTTCCCTTGGAGGCAGTTCCTTGCTCTCCCCTGCGAGAGGGGCACCCTAATCCGTTCACCCCATCCGACTTCAGAATGGGGTATGTATGTGTTCTAGGTTGCCCGCGTAAAGAGAGTAGCACCGGCCTTAACGAGTTAAACGGTGGGTTCCCAGCAGTTCAATACCGTACCTGGAGCCGTGGGATGTTCCTGGATGGATGGATGGATGGATGATGGTCCCCTCGGCGTTTCGGCGGGAGCTCAATGATGCGGTGAGCACCGCATATCGTTACTTCCACTGAGGTTCCTGCAGACACACGGCCAATAAAGCTGTTTCGGTTGACCAGGGGCAGGTGTGGAGCAGGTAGGGGTTTGACCCATCTAGGAACTCACAGTCAATATGCATGCAGTATATTCAGCCAGCGGCTTTCCATTTTGCGCACATTTTGTGCAAAATCAAATGGTGCAAAATGATGGGGAAATTTTTTGTGGCGTTTTTGAAATGCACGTCAGAAAAGGAGGAGATGCTGCGCACCAGCGAGTTCGACCCCGTCGCAGTAGAGGCGCGAAAAACCTTTGACGGTTGCGGATCGGGAAATATAATATCTTACGGACGAAACTTGAATAAAATATTCTGTCCGCGTTAGGCATGGCGACATGTACGGACGTAGAGCGTTCTCCGTTGCACAATACCATGGTGGGCCGTTGTTAAAGTGCCGTATGCGTATATCCCGTTAGGACAGGCACAATATTCGATGCCGAAAGATCAAATGTTCCAGTTATCTTGGTCAATGTGAGAAGGTTTTAAATGTTTTATAATTATATTTCCATGTATAGAGTCCAGGTTGCATGCCATCGCGTGCGGCAACCGGCGCCCCCTGTAGCTGATGTTAGGTGTCCAGATCATCTGACAGCAAAACTCAGTGCTGAGCATTTATGCTTAGAACTTTATACATCTTTCACTGCCATAGGCTCTTGCACAGCAGTAAACGGCAAACTCGGCGATTAAAGTGTACCAATGTGAAACCGAGAGGCTGTTCTTCAATTGGAAAATAAAGCCGTATCATATTCCTTTATAAATCTTATTAAATTGGACTAACATTATGCACTGCTAGTGAGCTAAGCTATTTTCATCAATCTTCTGACCTCGTCGACGCCGAACGCAAGACAGCCACGACGCCGATCGCGCATACATTTATTGTATAGACACGAGAATACCAATTTGTGTTATTGGCGTGTTGATCTTCTGTTCAATGCACCTGCGATTGGCCGTTTTCGGCAGACCAGTTCGTACCAGAGATACCTTTACCATAGGAGAATCTAAAGCAGGATTCGACCTGTACCGCCTATTCCTTAGTTTCAATCGTTGTGTATCGAAACTTTAGTTGGCCGTATTGTCCATGTGTCAGTCAAGCTGCGCTGATTCGGGTCAAAGCCCACTTCATCTGACTCCATACATTTCACAGGGTGCACCAAGATATAGGAAAACCTCCTGAATCACAGCAATTTCGTGTGAAACTAAAACTTATGAGCGCTTGCTGAAGTTACTATATATCGCAGGAAGAGCCGCCTCCAGCTACATCTTTGCTTTGTCCACTTTCCTACACTTTGGAGGGCGGTATTTCTTCAACTCGATTGCTATCAACATTCATATTATTGTACCCATTATTACTATCCGTCTCTAACTTGGGCTGGGGCGTCGTTCCTTCCGAACTTCCGCCGCCTTGCTGAGCATCAGTTATAACGTCGTGCTCAACGGCACGGCGCCACTTTGTAGGAGATGGGAAATGTCCTGTCGCCTGAAGCAGGCCCATTATTTGATGCCATAGCTGACGGCAACGTCGATGCAGCGATTCGCGTCCTGGATGCTCACCCTGGCCTGTCGCACAAGCGTGCTGGCAAGAAGAATCGAAATCTGTATCATGCATGCGCAACCAATGGGCAGCTGGCGGTGCTCAAACGAATATGTGAACACGTATGGGAAACGATGCCGGATGAGTTGGGCAAGACACACAGCTCCGACTCGATTCCCGAAGGCAGATTCCATCCAGTGATTTATCGCGCTGCAAACAGCTATGACGAGTCCGGCCTCACGCCTCTCATGCTCGCCTGCAAGAAGGGCCACACGGCTGTCGTACAATACCTCCTGTCGCAGGTCAGTTGCTTGATTGGCAGTCACTTTTAACACGGAAAGCTAGTAATTCCGCGTTTCGAAGCGCTCGTTCAATTGCGCTGTCCCGTCATACACGTGCTGCGGCACTTGCATGGGTCGTCATAGCGCCAAAATAACCTGGAAATTTAGCGAAGGGTCGATGACATATGCTGCACTATGCATTTTACTAAATCTGTGTGTGTGCTCGCAGCCTTGCTCACATGGCATCATGTTAAGGGGGCGAGCACCGCACCCCTCCAGGGCGGCGCTCCAGGTCGCCAACCACCGCTGATCTGTCAAGCCTAAGACCGGCATCAGGTCAAAAGCCATCATGCTAGTCGCATTCAGGGGATGTACATCTCCTTCTTCCATCACACACACACCTAATCCAATGCTTCCCCATCCTCCCACCGCCCACCGCCCACTAGGGAGCCGACCCTTGGGTCGGTGATCGGCTGCTGTGCCGCTCCGCCCTGCACATCGCCGCCCGGTACAACCAGCCCGACTGCATAGAGGCCATCCTCACCAGCCCCTTCGTGGAGCTCACTGGCAAAGTGCGCAGTCGGGAGTGCAAGTAAGTGTCGTTGTCCGGCGTGCACGCGGGGCCGAGTGGATGAGGGCTTACCGCGGGGGACAGACCGAGTCCTGAGCTCCACCCGGATTCCGACTGGCGCGCGCGGGCAGCTCGCGGTTGGGTCATGGGCCATGTAATTGGCTGAGTTATCAAATTCTCTTTTTCCTTTCTCTCCCTTCCTCACCCCCTCCCTCCCTCTCTCCCTCCTACCATAAAGGGCTCTATCCTACCGTGTTTCATCCACCTAAGATCCTGTTTTGGATGCTTCCGGTTGAGGTGCTGCCGCTACCGCTGCCTCATCGCGGCTTGATGCTGTGATGCACACTCGGGCCGGGGGTTCAAACCCAACCCAGGGATTGGCCAGCTGAATGAAGAGGGAAGAAATGGGGGATGGCCCGGATGGCCACACGGACTTACCTGGCGAGGGTCCGTTCGCGGTTCACCGCTGCTGACGTCCTGTGTCCCAACACAGCAGCGCCCACCACCACACCCGTTCCAAATCTCAACTCAAGCCCCCCCTTTCCCCCCAATACACCTGCCCATGTATACAAACCTCCATCCCCCATTTGCCCCACACACACGCATAGGCTGGTGGACTACCCAAACAGCTCAGGTTACACACCACTCCATTACGCCGCCGCTTCACGGTGTGCCGACACCGCCGTCGTGCTCTGCCGCCACGGCGCCAACCCCAATGCCAAGACCTTCGATGTCGGCTTCGACTTCATCCAGCTGGACCGGGGAAGCACGCCGCTGCACGCCGCCGCGCGCTTCCAAAACCTTGAGCTGGCCATGATTCTGCTGAAGCACTGGGACGAGAACCTTCGGCGGCTGGATGTGACCGACCCACGGGTCGTGGAAAGCTACGACCACACCAAGCCGTACCAGATGCCCGGCGTGAAGCCTAACAAGGCCCTGATGCGGGTGCTGGATCCTGGGACGCCCATCAAGGAGGTCAGCGATCCGTTTGGAGATGCAGCCGCCACCGCCGCCGCCGCCAGGTTGCCGTACGATGTGTCGTGCAGCAAGGTCGCGCCGATGAAGAAACCCTCCGCCACGGCGCTAAAGCGCAGCTTTTCGCCGCAAGGGCAGGTGAGGGGTGATTTAGGGCGGCGGGGGCCAACAGAGGCATCGGGGCATGATGGGGCCTAAGGCGGGAACGGAAATTAATAATGTTTGGATCATCGGAGAACTTCAAGAGGACCCAAACCATCAGAGCAAATCAGGGGGTTCGAAAATAATAATGTCATTATTGGGGGTTGTGAAAGCGGAGTTCCCAGCGGCTGGGTTGTGGTGCTGCTGAAATAACCCCACCTAAGCAGCCTAAAGACGTTTCTAGGATGCATTGGCTTCCTGGTGTAAGCCGTAATTGGAAACATATCTGTAGCTCTTGTCTGCTGCTCCTGCATAGCACCAGAAGCAGCAGCAACGACAAGAGCATGTCTGACACCTGCGTGGATTGATTACAATATCCAACACCCTGATTTCCCTTAGCATTGTCTTGTCCATGTCCCTGAACCTCTGAACCATGCACGCCGCGATGACTTCTTGGCGGCTGCAGGAGCCAGAACCTTTGACGCTGGACGGCGATTGCAGACAGGATGACGACAAGGTACGGCAAGGGGAAAGTGGGTCCGGGCATCTCAATTATGCGTGGCGGCGGTGATGAAGGTCTCCAACGCGCGGGGCTGCCCGTCCAACTTGATGGTTGCTGCCCGTCGAACACCGTGTATGTGCTTGCTGCCGGTGGGCACCGCGCTGGATTGCCTAACTCATCCTCCCCTAGGGGGCCGTTTATCATGGTATGGTAGAAAACACAGTGATGCACCACACCGCGCCGATACGGATACCCACCGGAGCTCCCCTTGGTCCTGGTCCCCTTTCAGGTCCCGGCGGGCTGGGAAGATGTCCTGTCTGGCAAGTCGGGCATCGGAACCACGGGGAAGGCTGCTGGCGGGGACTTCATCACCATATACCAGTGAGTAGCAGAGTACTAAGCAGTGGTCAGCAGTGGTCGTCCCTGTAGAGAGCAGCGTGCTGCTGATGCGGTAAGGGTGAGGGACCCCTGTCCGTGAAGGCGCGAACTTAGGACCGCTAGAAAGCCCTTAGAAAGCTCAACCCCCCCAACTCCCAACTCCCTGTATGATGTACGGTACGTAGGTGTGCGGAGTTTGCCGCCGATGTCGGCGGATCTCTGCCGCCGGTCGGCGATGGCGTCATGCAAAGCGTCCCTACCTGCCAGCGCATAGTCATACGCACGCAGAGTGAAGGACGCCGGCAGGGGTTCATGCAGGCACAGCAGGGCCTCGGCGAAACGAGCAGCTTCGGCGCCACCGTTGGCACCACCACCGCCATCGCCAACGGCTTAGGCCGCACTCGCTCCGGCGCCGCTGGATCCACGCACCGATCCGGGGGTATTCTCGGCGGCATTTCGGGTATCTCCTCATCTGCCACATCATCGGACGATGACGCCCAGGGTAAGAAGCCCGAACCGGGTCGTCGCTCCACGGGCGCTGCTACTGCTTTTACTGCTACTACGCCTGCGGTGCCGGCTGCCGCCAGGGGTGTAGGATCCTCCTCACCTCCTGGGCCTCAGAAGTCTCCTTCCGCAACCGGCATGAGGTCGCTGATGGCAATCCCGGAGCCTGCTATACGTTCTCCTTTCTCCGATGGACAGCTGCTGGCATCCCATGGTGCAATCCGCATTCAGCCCGTGACGCCTCCCCGGGGAGAGCTAGCGGCCGCCAGCGGCTTGCGGACGGCGTGCTCGCTGGGGCATGACGCCGCGACGGCTGCCGGGCCAGCGGCGGCGGGTGCAGCAGCAACCACCCTAGGTATCGGCTCCGGGGGCGGCCTTGTTCGCACCGGCAGCGGTACCTTAGCGTCTAAGCCGCCTAGTGGCGATGGCGGCAGCAAACCCGCCGGCCGGACCTTCAGTCGATCGAGCTCATACAAGCCGTTTGGGGATGCCGCCACCACTGCCGCCACCGTCGCTGCCGGTACGACACCAAAGCCGGTCCTCGTGCGCACGCACTCCCGCAGCGGCCGAAGCAGCCCTCCAAGCTCCGTGAACTCCTCCTCATCGTCGACGGTGGCAACAGGAGCGGCGGCGCCGCCGCCGGTGGCCTTCTCCGCGTGGAGTGACAAGAAGAAGACGTACAGCGCACAGGCGGCGGCGGCAGCGACGGCGACGGCGGAGGCCGACCTGGCACGTGACAGCTACTCAGAGGACGCTCAGCCGGTTGAGGTAACCATGTATCCGCACATTCGGGAGAATCTTAAGCGGCTTAAGGCAGGAGACACGTGCAACGAGGCGGTGACGCTGGACGGCACCGATGCAACCAGGACGCAAGACCCGCCGACACGCCAGCGCAGCCGTTGCCAGAGCCAAGGTGAATCAGCGTCGCATTGCCAGCAGCATCCGCATTATAATGATGAGCGCCAACAGCAACGTCAAGCCTTCCAGGGCAGCAGCGGCGTCAGTAATGGCAGCAGCAGCAGCAGCGTAAGCCGTCGCAGCATCGGCAGGAAGAGCGCCAGCAGCCGCAGCGGCAGCGGCAGCGGCAGTGGCGGCGGACAGTCGGCAATCGCACCTGATCTAGGTTTCCGGCGCCAGGGCTTGATGCCGCCGGCAGTGGAGCTGTCTGAGGATGAGAGTCGCCTAGAGGACGTGGGTTTGGCAGCTGCTCTGTCTCCTGGGGCCTCCATGCGAAGGACAGCTCGGCTGGGCTGATCTCAAAGCTGAAACCTCGGCGCGCCTACCTATGGGCGGGCTTCCCAACAACAAACGCATCAAAGCAGGTCTCAAGCGAAGAGGAGCGGATGCTAGATATCCTGAGGCTGGGCCTGGGACTAGGAGTGTTTTCGTTTGTTGACTTGCACGTGTCTGCATGTCGGTGTGTTTGCCTATTGTCCGCCTGTGCATATTCGATGTTTACGGCCGCTCTGCAGCGGGGCGACTGCGTCGAAACTTGTTCACATTTAGGCTTATTTTGGTCGGTGATGCACACGTCATGAGGACCCTGAACATCCTGCGCGGTAGGATGTTCCAGTGATTAGCTTAACGGAGATGGATGTGGAGGCTACAGAGTAGCTCGTGCTTCGGGGGGAGCAAGTCAAATGCGGCACCTCGGTACAAACCACTTCTACTGCTGAAGGGTCGCGGAGGTTACCTCACACGCCTTGCATTGCATTATATCATTGCATCTGCCGGGATGGGACAAGGCCTGGCTTGGGATATTGAAAAGGGGAAGGCCCGAACCCGGCGAACGAAGGTGAAAGTATACGCCCTAGGTGTTTTGAGTTCGGCTAAGTTCAGGCAGGACAGGACAGGACAGCGCAGGGCAGGGTGGTCTTGACCCTCGCTCGACTTGCTTGACGCTGCAGCAGGATGGTGCTTTTACCACACACGGCTATTGAATTTGCGCGCTTAGGTGGACATGCTATTGTGCTGGCAGTGTTATTACATACGACGGCAGTGCGAGAGAGGTACATATATTTAGACGGCAGGCCGCTGTACCTTAAACGTGCGGCCAGATGGAGGAAATCCTGATAGAGGAATGAGCGGGGTGTTTCGCTGCCGTCTGTTCTGCTTTGTCGTCACCGTAGGCGTTCGGGTTCTTCAGGCCGCGTATCGGCCTGCGTGCTGGAACTCAGTTTATCGGACCCCTGTCGCCTACCTTCGTTGGACTTGCTAAAATTGAACGGTGGTCGCACGTGCGAGAGGGCTCGTATAGGGCTGGGGGCGGCTGTGTGGCCGTTGGTGCCGGCACATGTAGGACAGCGACATTGGGGGGGAGAGACGGGCTTTAGCACCAAGCAGGAGTGGCTGGAGGAATGCAGAAGGGCGGGCATGAGGCCGGCCTCGAGGGAGGAAGGACCAGCCGACCGATCTGTCAACCGATTGCTATGTTGCTACCCACGTGCGCGTAGAGGTTCGGCGGTTGCTTTGTTTGGGATGATGGGGCAGTGTACGGACAAAGTGTACAGCAGCATAGCAGACTCCTCGACGCATACAAGATGTAGACAAGAACCATTATTTAGGCTGAATACTTTGTCAAAGCCTGCGCTAACTGCAGGATTTGAGTTGATAGGTTGTTTAATACTGCAGTGGTGGGCGCGTGGGACGGTAGATTTCCACTTGACTGGACTTCCCCGCCGTGTTTATGACCTTAACTAACCAAGAATAATTTCATTTTCGCCTCGTAAATTTTCAAGAGGTAGGGATTCACTTGGGTTGGCAAGCAAGGGCTCGTGTTCGACTGCACCAACCGTCATCTACCGTCGCCTGCTGTCGGCATTCATCAAGGACTTCAGGCAGCGGTGGCAGGGGTAGGCGGGCGGAGAAGGGCTGATGGACAACCCTGTATGTGCTGATGCGATGGCGCATTGCTGGCTGGAGGTCGATCCATGCAACGATGCACCCTCGGGTGCAGCTGGGGCACCGTGGGGGGCTGCAGCAGCAGCAGCAGCAGCAGTGGATTGTCCAGTGAACGATATGCGCATGGCTCATGCAAGATGATGCAGGTACGTAGGCTGCTGCTCGTGCTGGTGCTGGTGCTGCCGCTCGTGCTGGTGCTGCTGCTGCTGCTGCTGCTGCTGCTCGTACTGCTGCTGCTGCTCGTGCTGGTACTGGTGCTGCTGGTGCCGGTGCTGGTGCTCGTGCTGCTGCTCATGCTAGTGCTGCCGCTCGTGCTGGTGCTGCTGCTGGTGCTAGTGCTGGTGCTGCTGCTCGTGTTGCTGGTGCGTACATGTGAGGTGCTGTTCGAAGGATTCGCGTCAGGAGGGGAAGAGAGATGGATGGTACGTAACGAATTTCGCGCAGAGCTTCCACAGGCTTGTCATCGGTGATGGAGGATGCTGAGGCAGCCCACACCCGCACGGCTCATCATGGGTGCTCACAGATTCCCCATCGAATTTCACAGCGTTTGTGACGATGAGTTGCACATTCCGATAGTTTAGTTCTTGTATCATTTGGAACCTCGGAAAGTGCCAGGGCTGCTGCACCGCCGTATGGCCGTACGGGCAAGGGCGGCATTACCAAGGCTTTGCGGTGAACTTCCTTGCGGTTGTCCTCGTTGTGGTGTGCATGCGGAACGAGGCGTGAAGCATTGCGTGCGTTCTTCGCGCTGCCTGACTCGCCGATGGGCATCCGCTGCTGGCACGCAGGTCAAGTTATTTCTTACCCTGTTGTATGCGTGTGCTGCTGATGCTGAAGCTGCGTGCCAGGCGCTGCGCACTGCAAAAGCGAGAGGAGGCGGGTGGAGCTGCTCTGCGCTGCTAGGTTCCTGCTTAATCTAAAAATTCAATAAACAGATTTACAGTGTGATGTGCGCGCTGTCTGAATTCTGGTGGTGGCCTTCCTACAATACGAAGAAGAAGAAGAAAACGGCGATTAAGCCGGTCAAGGGCGATGGCCGGCCCTCTCCCCTTTAAGGAGGAGGTTGTGCCTATGTTTTGGAAGTATGCATGGCCTGCGGACGGAGGTTAGCCAGGGTTGCACCTGACTCTCCAGGGCGCGGATGGTGCGATGGGTGGGGAGGGAGGACCTATGGAGGCAGCTGCCTATCAACAGTAACAAGTAGTAATGTCATAACACCGTCATCACTAACAATTACACCGCTATACATCGCTTGCGAGCAACTGCCGGCCGTGTCTGGAATTCCCACAAAAACCTTTTACACTTTTGCAGGTGGACCTGACTTGATGGTTGACTTGATAACCTACCTTTCCGGCGTAAAGGGATTTCCAGCGGGATCCCTACGCCGGCTTTCCTGCAGATATCCATTGCGAAATAAGTAGTTATTAAGTTCAGGGATAAAATACAACATAAATAACCAAAAAACATTTAGTTTGTCTTGTGACTTATGATAGTTTAGGCAAGCGCTCTTGTCAAGAGTTCTGTTTTCACGTTAAGACCGCTGTAGGACGTGGCTAGCAGGCAGTGGGACGGCACGTTGGGCGTTGTTTTTGGACGGGGTTTGAGTTTTCATATCGCAAATTGCAAGTAACGTCGCTCGGGCCCGTCTCGCATCGAGCACCATGCTTTCGTGCGCTCTTGCGGGGGCGCGGCGAGGCCAGCTGAGCTGCCTATAGGCCTGTTTGATCTGGTATATTGGGGACAGTCTTGAGCACGTTTTCCTAGATAATGGCTTTGCCACTGGCCAGAATTAATGCAACCGTGCTGCATGTTTGGCCATGGCTGCAGCCATGCCAGCCAACTGGCAGGTAAACTTTCGGGAGGTTGTACTACTGTGTAACTGACTTAATAACATGTAGCGTGCACACGCACATACACACATCACCATCATGACTGTGCAACGTTTCCCATTCCCCAGGGCCCCCTCGGCTAGTTGGCCCTGTCGGAGCCTCATTTTCCCCCTCTCGGATATTTTTTGGCCCCAAGACTATGCGACATATCGAAGTGCATTTGCATGCCTCCTGTCTCCTATCCTGTACAACTGAAGACAGTACCTTGGCTACGTTGACGGATACTGGCGAAAACAGCCTGATGATGCTTTTCAATCGAGATATTGATATTTTACAAATCGACCTATCAGTGTGGAGAAGTGTAAAGCCCAGGCCACGTAAATCAATCGTTACACCTTTGGAGGATTTTCAAGTTCGTACAGATTGGTTACGGATGTTCTTAGTCTTTCGTCACAAAGGTAATTTTTGACACATTTGCTTTACCTTGCGATTGCATTGATGCATGCGGTATTATGATAAGATGGGTGTTTCACGTATGATGGCGGAAAACTGCTCAAGCCTGCCATTTTTTGCAAGTCGCACATCTTAACATTTTGTAGCTACATATTGATTAATTTTCAGAAGAAATCTAACTATTACTCCTTCGAAGAACCAATAAGCATGTCAATGCAATGTTAGCGCTTCTGCTACATTAACGCGCTGTTGGCTCATTGACCCCAAAACAATCATAGTAGTAATCATGACTCCGTCATACAATAGAAATGCGGAGACATCTGACGTGGAGCTCTCGCAATGGCAGGTTCTACAGGAGAAAATGAACACGTGCAGCACAGAGCCAGTCCTGCCGGATGCTGAGGTGAACAAGCTGCTGAAGTCAATCACCCGGTTCGCCTTCAAGCTGATGAACTGGGTGGACCTGGCGGCCATTGCGCCCTTCCTCGTGGAGCTAGCGGTGGCGGGGCCGGATAATGAACAAAGTGAGGAGAGGAGGGGGAGAAGGAAGGAGGGGGAGAAGGAAGGAGGGGGAAGAGGGAGGGGTGGGGCCCTTGGTGTGTGGTGGCACATATTCCGCATTTCTGTCTGCCCATCTGGGGGCCCTGGAGATGTATGCCGGCACAACACCCCTCATCCCATTTCCGGCGCACATACATACAGAGATACAGACAAACAGACAGACAGATAGACACACCGTCGCCCCCTGGCCCCTCCCCCTGCACACACAGACGCCTCTCAGACACGGATATTCCGGTTGATTCGTTTGATCCGGATTCTGCGGCTGCTGAGGGCTAGCTCCAGGTGGGAGGGGGTGAGAGAGGGGAGGGAGCAGAAGGGGAGGGCGGGAGGAAGGGGAGGGGATTGCACAGAATAAAAACCGGAGGGAAGGGAAGGAGAGAAGGTTTAGGATGGGAGCAAACCGACCCGGGCATGGGGGAGCTGGGTGGTGGGTTAAGGGGGGCCGGGAAGAGGGGGAAACAGTTGTGCAACGAAAGAAAGAGGACTGACGATAGCCCAAACCCAAACCCCAAGTCCAAACCCCAAGTCCGAACCCCAAGTCCAAACCCTAGCCACATCCCCACATCAACCCCTATACCTTCCTGAATTCCCCCTCTCCCTGCCCCTGCCCCTCTGCCTCAGGTTCCGAAACCTTCAGTTGGTAGTTGACGCCCTATCTGCCAGCCTGGATGTGATCGGCATGTTGGTGGTGGTGTTGGGGGTGCTGCTGGTGGTGGCCGGTACGGTGGTGTATTACGTGGAGGGTGCCTTGGTGAAGGACACGTGGTTCGACTCCATACCGCTGACCATGTACTACATGCACGTGGGTCCTTCGTGGGAAAAAAGGGGGAGGGGGCGGTGTGTGTGTGTGTATGCGCGTTCGCAGCCTTGCTCATATAACATCTTGTTAAAAGGGGAAAGCACCGCACTCTTCCAGGGCGGCGCTCCTGGTCGCCAACCACCCTAAGACCGGCATCAGGTCAAAAGCCATCATGCAAGTCGCATTCAGGATGTACATCTCCTTCTTCCATCGCGCACACACCTAATCCAATGGTTCCCCATCCTCCCACCGCCCACTAGGGAGCCGACCCTTGGGTCGGTGATCGGCTGCTGTGCCGCTCCGCCCTGCACATCGCCGCCCTGCACAACCAGCCCGACTGCCTAGAGGCCATCCTCACCAGCCCCTTCGTGGAGTTCACTGGCAAAGTGCGCAGTCGGGAGTGCAAGTAAGTGTCGTTGTCCGGCGTGCACACGGGACCGAGTGGATGAGGGCTAACATGGACAGACCGAGTCCTGAGCTCCACCCGGATTCCGACTAGCGCGCGCGGGCAGCTCTCGCGGTTGGGTCATGGGCCATGTCGCGGGCCAGCTCGCGGTTGGGTCATGGGCCATGTAATTGGCTGAGTCATCAAATTCTCTTTTTCCTTTCTCTCCCTTCCTCACCCCCTCCCTCCCTCTCTCCCTCCTACCATGAAGGGCTCTATCCTACCGTGTTTCACGAAATTGCTGAAAATTGCAGTTAACATAAGAACTGCAATTTTAGGAAAATAGAATAAAATTCCGGATGCTATAATCTGGGCTACTGCAAAATACACGGATAGCTTATTGATAACCAGAAATACCAAAGACTTCTACCTAAGATCCTGTTTTGGATGCTTCTGGTTGAGGTGCTGCCGCTACCGCTGCCTCATCGCGGCTTGATGCTGTGATGCACACTCGGGCCGGGGGTTCAAACCCAACCCAGGGATTGGCCAGCTGAATGAAGAGGGGACGGAATGGGGGGATGGCCCGGATGGCCACACGGACCCACCTGGCGAGGGACCGTTCGCGGTTCACCGCTGCTGACGTCCTGTGTCCCAACACAGCAGCGCCCACCACCACACCCGTTCCAAATCTCAACTCAAGCCCCCCCTTTCCCCCCAATACACCTGCCCATGTATACAAACCTCCATCCCCCATTTGCCCCACACACACGCATAGGCTGGTGGACTACCCAAACAGCTCAGGTTACACACCACTCCATTACACCGCCGCTTCACGGTGCGCCGAACCGCCGTCCTGCTCTGCCGCCACGGCGCTAACCCAATGCCAAGACCGCGGAAGCACGCCGCTGCACGCCGCCGCGCGCTTCCAAAACCTTGAGCTGGCCATGATCCTGCTGAAGCACTGGGACGAGAACCTTCGGCGGCTGGATGTGACCGACCCACGGGTCGTGGAAAGCTACGACCACACCAAGCCGTACCAGATGCCCGGCGTGAAGCCTAACAAGGCCCTGATGCGGGTGCTGGATCCTGGGACACCCATCAAGGAGGTCAGCGATCCGTTTGGAGATGCAGCCGCCGCCGCCGCCAGGTTGCCGTACGATGTGTCGTGCAGCAAGGTCGCGCCGATGAAGAAACCCTCCGCCACGGCGCTAAAGCGCAGCTTTTCGCCGCAAGGGCAAGTGAGGGGTGATTTAGGGCGGCGGGGGCCAAGATGGACACAGAGGCATCGGGGCATGATGGGGCCTAAGGCGGGAATGGAAATTAATAATGTTTGGATCATCGGAGAACTTCGAGAGGACCCAAACCATCAGAGCAAATCAGGGGGTTCGAAAATAATAATGTCATTATTGGGGGTTGTGAAAGCGGAGTTCCCAGCGGCTGGGTTGTGGTGCTGCTGAAATAACCCCACCTAAGCAGCCTAAAGACGTTTCTAGGATGCATTGGCTTCCTGGTGTAAGCCGTAATTGGAAACATATCTGTAGCTTTTGTCTGCTGCTCCTGCATAGCACCAGAAGCAGCAGCAACGACAAGAGCAGGTCTGACACCTGCGTGGATTGATTACAATATCCAACACCCTGATTTCCCTAAGCATTGTCTTGTCCATGTCCCTGAACCTCTGAACCATGCACGCCGCGATGACTTCTTGGCGGCTGCAGGAGCCAGAACCTTTGACGCTGGACGGCGATTGCAGACAGGATGACGACAAGGTACGGCAAGGGGAAAGTGGGTCCGGGCATCTCAATTATGCGTGGCGGCGGTGATGAAGGTCTCCAACGCGCGGGGCTGCCCGTCCAACTTGATGGTTGCTGCCCGTCGAACACCGTGTATGTGCTTGCTGCCGGTGGGCACCGCGCTGGATTGTCTAACTCATCCTCCCCTAGGGGGCCGTTTATCATGGTATGGTAAAAAACACAGTGATGCACCACACCGCGCCGATACGGATACCCACCGGAGCTCCCCTTGGTCCTGGTCCCCTTTCAGGTCCCGGCGGGCTGGGAAGATGTCCTGTCTGGCAAGTCGGGCATCGGAACCACGGGGAAGGCTGCTGGCGGGGACTTCATCACCATATACCAGTGAGTAGCAGAGTACTAAGCAGTGGTCAGCAGTGGTCGTCCCCGTAGAGGGCAGTGTGCTGCTGATGGGTGAGGAAAAAAATAGTATAATGTAGTTCTAGGACAGCTCCGACTAAACCCCAACTAACTCGTGTACGGCACCCCAACCCCCTCAGCCGTACTGGAGCTGCGGTTGGGTGTCGGTAGCTGCCGCGGCTGGGAGCTGGTAGTTGTACGGTGGGCCGGCTGGGAAGCTGCCAAGCCAGGGGCCACACACACGGGTCGTTGGCATGAGTCGGGTAGCTGTACGGCTGGCAGCTAGAAGTTGCACGGGAGACCGGCTGTGAAGCGACATGAGTGCACAGGTGTACAGCGGAGGTCAGGGTGGGGTGGGGTGGCTGGTGGTTGGTGTGGTGCACGAGTGGGAGCTGGTAGCTGCGCGTGGAGCTGTTTGGGAAGCCTCGTGTGAGCTGCGTGTAAACTCAGATGGGATGCATGGGGCTGCACCTTTCCATGAACTGCATCTGGGCCACGGGATTCACACGACTGCACTGTAACTGGCGCACCGGGGTGGCGCCAGGCGTCCCCGCCGCACTGGGAAGTGGTGTGTGGGATGTGATGGGATGTGATCCAGCCAGGTGAGGACATGGCTGCATGCGGTGCAGTGCGTGCACTGGTGCGGCGCGTCAGCCTTCCTACCTACGATCGAGCTGCATCAGAGCTCACACACGGCTGCAGCTGACTGGCATGCAAAGGGGCTGCACCGAAAGTGGCGCGGCCGGGGGCGGCGCCACGCTGTGGGGTGAAAGGAGCGAGGCACAGAAACTCAAAACTCGGAGGAAACTCGGCTGAAACTTCGAAGTCGAACAATGGAGGCTGTTCTTAGTCTTTTTGTTCTTGTGAATAATTAGTGACTAGCGTCAGTTCTTCATCGCCTTGCGAAGCGTGCGGTAAGCGTCGGAGCTCAGGTCCTCTTGCAGCTGAGCCGCGGGCAGCCCTTCAGCCTTGGGAAATCCTTTTAATCTCACCAAAAATTGCAGCTTGCCCTTTACAAATTTGCTGTCCTCGAAGCGCGACACTTCGAAGTGTGTTTCGCCACGCACCTGCTCGTGCTTTCCCTTCCTGCTGCCACGCTTGCCCACAGGCTTGTTTGCAGGCGCAGCTGGTGGTGCCTCTTGAGCTTCAATAGCGCGTGTAGCCTGCTTCTGTGTTGTGGCAAGAGCACGCGCAACATGCCGCACCTGGTGCTGCTCCTGTGCTGCCTCTGCCTGGCGCTTCACCCCGCCTGCTACCCTGTAGTCACTTCACGAACCACCAGCATTTCCGACGGGCTATGCAGGCGTCGCTTGCCCTCCACGGCGAACCTATAGTCCTTCTGCCGAGTCATGGTGTAAAAATGTCCTGTGAATAGGTGGCCTTCTCCTTGTCGAACAACCCTGTGCCCTCCAACAATCATATGCGGTCACCAGGCTTGAACCCACTCACCATTCGCGTGTTCTTAGCATGCTGCCCCTTGACCCTTGTGCAGCGACAGCATGAAGTCCACACCTGCGAATGCCTCATCAGAGAGCGGAGCTCCCCCACCACGCTAAAAAAGTAGCATTTTTTGGCCCTGGGTGCCGTGGTGAGAACGTGGCAAAGCTCTTCTCGCCAGCGGCGGTGGCCCAGCTGGCCTAACCCCGGAAGATGCAAGCCCTGGAGGTGTCTCCTTGGTCTGCTGAGTGCTGCGTGCTGTCGTACAGGTCAAACAACTGAGCAGGAGGTGCGCTATCCCGCATGCATGTGTCTATGTAGCCCTCAGCGAGTAGCTGGGTAGAAACTCGATCAAAATCCAGCTGAAACTCAGTCAAAACGGAAAACATACTTACTGACATTGGCTATGACATGCAGGCCGGGGCCGGGTTGGTAGTTTAACCTGGCGACCCTGCATAAAAAGCAAGCCACGAGCGCTGCACAGCTGGTACCAGCTGGTACCTGCAACACATGTAAGCGGGGAAGAGCATGAATGTCTTCAAAAGCGTGCTTTTTCCCAGTGCTTCGTAGAACGGCGGCTTCCTGCTACTTCCAGGGTGGTCTGGCATTCCTGACACAGGCTCTTTCAGAGCCGCTCAGTCTCTGGAGGGATCTGCACAGGCCTCTGAAGGGCTCTGGAGGGCTCTGAAGGGTTCTGAAGGGCTCTGTAGGCTGGTAACCGAGAAGGCCCCGATGCAACTGCAAGGGCTCCGCTCGAAGGGGCAAGAGGCAAGCCAACACGAGCACTGCCTGTGCGCCCGGCCGCCCTGCATGCTTGGCGGGCCAGTACCCAGTTGGCCCACTATCCCGTTGCAAAGGCTGCAGCAACCCACAAGATGCCGAAAGCCAGTCGAGGCGGGTATTAAGGAGTTGACAAACTCCAGGCGTTGAATGTTTGGCAGGCTGGCGGCACCGCTGCACAGCCACAAACCCAGCCCAAGCATAGGCGCTCACAGACCGCAAGCACTTACTGGCATACACCACCAGCCCATGTACCCCGCAGCTCGTTAGCACCTCGAATAGCCGCGAGGGAAAGGCACGGATGCTACCATGACTTGTGGTCGCTTGCAGCAGCACAAAGCTTATGACCGGAGGAGAAAACTCAGATATGAGGATGCGCATATTGCAAAATATTAGGGAACTGTGCTCGCTTCAGGACTCCGATACAAATTGAGTCCAAATCTCTTCACATTGCAACCAAGCACTGTATCATTAATATGCATCAAAGGTGTTGAGGTTCAGAAATCCGCAATTGTTTTGGGACTGACGCCGTCCCCTTCACGGGCGACATTTGCACATTGCTGGACTGAGCCCAATAACTTGACCTGTGTGTGTGTGTGCATGTGCATGTGTGTGTGTGCGTGTGTTGCAAGTATTTGACCATGCCTGACACTGGCCGGGGACTGCTGCCCAGCCCCAACGGAAAGACCACCTAAGCTCCTCCCGCAGACAGGAGAGGGGTGTAAGGGGCCTCTGTCCCCTCCTAAGCAGCCGAGAGCCACAGGTCCACTAGTTCCGCTTTCCTCCCCCGGGGGTCAAGGCTCTGTCACGCGAGTTTGAGCACTGAGCCTGAAACACACAAGACTGGCTCTTGGGGTGAAGGTTCAAGAAGACCGAGGAAACCCGGAAACCCTGTACAGACCCTACCCCTCCCTATTACGGCACCAGGCCCTAATAGAAAGCTCGGTCTCTCACCTGATTCTCCATTGCTTGCCCGCAATGGGCGCGGGGGAGCGGGCAGGGTTCATCGTTTGTGCTGAAATCCATAATGACCACCTGAAAAATCGCCATGCCCCAATGTTTGCATCAAATGCTTAGACATTTCCGGTTAGGCTGTTGGGAGTTAGAGATTAACCAACCTAACGGCCATGAGTGCACAGCATGCACCTGCAGGCTTTGTGACTGGGGGGCGGTTGAAGACGAAATGCATGTCTTTATGGAATACATGGCGCACGGGGCTAAGTAGGAACGTGACCTCTTGTTTCAAGGGCGCAACATGGACACGATTATGAGGCCCCACCCCTGGCACTAGCCAGGTTCCTCTCGGAAGTCTGGGAGACCCGGCACGTTGCTCTAAGGCGCTTCGGTGGTCCACCATGTAACTGCCCTAAAAACGATTTACCACCCATGGGCCCCCCTGGCTCTTACGGACACCCCCACACTTGTGCGGAATTTGCACAGACTAGGCCAGTTCCTATCAGTCCACCGCCGTTGCTAGGGATGCCTCGAGGCAGTGTGGTTGTTACAGTGGGCTCCAGACTCACAAAGAGTACAGCCAGCGGGCCAGCAGGCCGTGCACTGCACCTGATACGATGAGGGCAAACAAGACTCCCACCCAGACCAGACAACGCAAGTCACCTAGACAGCCAAAAGCAAATCCAAGGGCAGGCTCAGAACCCGCAACCACAGGGGAATTTGCCATTAGACTCCCCAATAGGCGAAAGTCCTCGGAATCCCACCAGAAGGCCCATAAGCAAATACTGCAGTAAGTTCTTAACAGCTGTTAAGAACTTGATGAGATACATTAAGCAAATACTGATAAGAACTAGATGAGGCCTGAGTGAGCTTGTGCGTATGAATAGCTACATTGCATTGCTCAGACAGACGAAGCCACATAGGCCGCAAGCCACTTCAGCATAGTTGCGCCTGCGATCGGCAATAGCCCGCAGACGCGGACGCCGCAAATGCTATCTGTTTACACCCTACAGGCGTGGTTCACGTATGTATTCGCGTATATAGAATATCATATAGAAATTCTGCGTGTTTCTTGCGACTTGCGACTTGCGACTTGCAAGAGCAAGACGCCCGGGGGGCCCTGACTCGAAGTGAGCCCCACCCTGGAGCTAGTTGGCAACTTGCGACTTCAGAAGTACGCAAGAGTGCACTTCGCCTCGCATCCCGCAATTTGTTATGCAAGCAGCCATAATACGCATCAAAGGTGTTGAGGTTCAGAAATCCGCAATTTTTTTTGGGACTGACGCCGTCCCCAGCGCGGGCGACATTTGCACATTGCTGGACTGAGCCCAAGAACTTGACCTCTCTTAAACTTCGGTCAAACGTAAACCCTGCCTCAGCATACAGCGTGTAGCCGTCCTTCAGACCTTGTTGTGCTTCAGCACTCTCGCATCCCAACACCACAACGCACGAACGAGCGGTCAGCAGAAAGGAGGCTCACAACTATAGATCTTAAACAGTAGTTGGACCTCGGAGCTCAGCAGCCCTTGCATCGGTTGCGAAAGCGCTACTTTACCGTGTCGCCTAGCGCGCCACAAGCGCAAGCCATGGACCAGGAGGCCCAGCTTGAGCTTGAGCTTTACCTCCAGGCTCTTTGCAAGGCTGTAGGGTGAGCAACGGCACATTGGTAGTTGTTGGGGGCTGTGGGGTGCGGCGTGGCGCGCTCGGGGCATCAGGAAGTGCCATTCAGTGGGAGGCGGGGCCACCATCCAGGTTCGTCTCCTTACCACGAAATGTTCCTCAATATAGCTTTAAACCTTGCGTTGTCTGATTTCTGACCTTGAACCCTTACGGGAGCGGATTAGTGGGCATGATCGTGACAGAATCCACTTGGGTCTGGGGTGAGGCCCCGGATGCGGAGCGGCATCGGAGAGGGGTGCGGGACGAGCTTCAATAATGGTGTGGGTCGGGTTTGGTCGAAGGAAAGTGTTGCCAGGTCACAGGTGGCAGCGGATGCAGACCCAAGGCTCAAAATGTTGATGACTGTCTGCACCAAGCACCACGAGGCTCCGGTGCTCGGTGTCTGGCCCTTGTTGGCGTGATTCATTCTGCCCTGGAGATGCTGACTGCCTGCATTGCCTTCTGATCACTTTCATGTTGTGCAGGCGTGGCGGCTGGACAGGGCACAGCACAAGCTGGTGAGCGGCACAATGAGCATGGGGGTCATGGGGATCCACCTCGGCTGCTGAAGGGCACAGCTGCACTGTGACTAGGCTGAAAGCGCATTGGGGTACTGTAGTGTTTGTCGCAATCTTGAACTGCTATCTTGATGTATCCTTTCTGCTTACCCACTGGCTCATTAGCAAGTCTTTATAGGGACGGCGCTTCTACACGCGGTATTCCTTCAGATCTGTAAATGGTGTGAACGTGCATAGATTGTATGCCATTCACTAACATGTGTTCGCTCTGGAATAAACATCTGCAGTTGCTCTCGAGCGGCTGGAGCAGCTCAAGCTGGACCTTGCAAAGAGCCTGGAGGTAAAGCTCAAGCTCAAGCTGGGCCTCCTGGTCCATGGCTTGCGCTTGTGGCATGCTAGGCGACACGGTAAAGTAGTGCTTTCACAACTGATGCAAGGGGGCTCAGCAGCCCTTGTATCCGAGGTCCAACTACTGTTTAAGATCTATAGTTGTGAGCCTCCTTTCTGCTGACCACTCGTTCATGCATTGTGGTGTTGGGATGCATTGTGGTGTTGGGATGCGAGAGTGCTGAAGCACAACAAGGTCTGAAGGATGGCTACACGCTGTATGCTGAGGCAGGGTTTACGTTTGACCGAAGTTTAAGAGAGGACAAGTTCTTGGGCTCAGTCCAGCAATGTGCAAATGTCGCCCGTGATGGGGACGGTGTCAGTCCCAAAAAAAATTGCGGATTTCTGAACCTCAACACCTTTGATGCGTATTATGGCTGCTTGCATAACAAATTGCGGGATGTGAGGACTCTTGCGTACTTCTGAAGTCGCAAGTCGCAAGTTGCCAACTAACTCCAGGGTGGGGCTCACTTCGAGTCAGGGCCCCCCAGGCGTCTTAGGGAAGAAGGCCAATGAACAAGGCCCTCAAGTCGTAAGGCCTAAAGGGAAACCTATCCGTCGCTGGCTCTACCTGCTAAGCGGAACCTGCAACAATTTCTTTTAAGTATATGACAGCAAGTTTAAGCATAATGATCTTTCGCCTTTTAGCGTGCTTGATGCTGTGTGGTAAAGCACTGTGTTCCGCGTCTGCATCCATTTTGCCTGCCAAAAGTGGTGAACCAACTTAATCAAATGCAAATTTACAATGACATAAATACGAAAATGTAGGTAGTGCTGTTACGCACTTTTCGGCGGTGGCAAGATGTTGCACATCATCGCACGACCGATCTGCGTCGCTGTTCAGTCAGTATTTAGCCTAGTACATAAATAGCAAATACTGTGTATTACATATGACTTCTTCTTTTCACAATTTGTAAGGTTAGTTTGGCTTCTTTTCCTTCACCGTTATCGTTGTGATAGACTGATCCTTGAGTCAATACATTCATTAAAGCCTTGGACTGCTAGTGAATATAAAGCTAGTAAATGTTGTCATTTTCGGTACAATCGCTGACGTTCAGCATTGTGGTCCTGCTCGCCATGACCACGACACACTATGACGACGGGTGATCGCCTTAAGTCCGCATAAGTTCGCGTAAGTTCGCGTTAGTTCGTGTAAGTTCGCATTAGTTCGCGTGACGGTGCGAATCTTAGTGTTAGGTGCGAATGAGCATGTTTTTGTAATGCAAAGAGCTAACGCACAACGGCTATGAAAAAGCGGAAATCGGCCCTCCTGGCTAAAATTTTTAACTTTTATAATTTTCAGGTTGTAAAGGTTCATTTGGAAATAAACTTGCGTCGTTTTGGTCGACTTGAGCAATTCATCATAACATAATGATACGAATGTTTCGCGCCACACCTTTCGCGGGTACCCCAAAAATATAGCTGGAATTTTTCGTTTTGTTACACCAATTCGCGAGGGCTGTCAGTTTTTATGGCACACATTTGTTTACATGAACACACATTTCGCGGGGCTCCAGGGAAGCCACAACAAGGAGCGACAGCGTCAAAGCTCCCAAACTGCTGGACATATCGTTTACTATATGTTTACGCAGAAGAACAGAAGGGTTTTGCATTGTCACGTAGCGTGCCAGGATGTCCAGCAAACAACAGTTACAATAAAAGGAAGCTATAACTATATGAAAAATTCAGTTCTGGCGTGTAAAAACTCAGTTCTGGCTGTTCTACACCATGTACACGGCGTACAACACATTCATGCCACACATTTTCGCGACAAGTAAATAATTTTCCCCATAGAGCTTTTTCCACTGTGACACACTTCGTGGCCCAAAACGAAAGGTGTGGCGCGAAACATTCGTATCATTACGGTATGTTGAAACGTGAAGCATACACGCATGTGTAGCAAGGCCATACGCATGCGATTCCATATTGCGATTCGTGTGTGTGAGACAATGCGTAAAGCAATACATATCCAATCGCACATCAAACGCATACAGTCTGCAAGGCTATTCGCATGCGAATACATGTTGCGTTTCATGCGTATAAAGGCTGATTGTGTAAAGCTTAACGCGGCCTAACACACACCAAACACACACATGTCGCAATGCAATTCGCATGCAAAGAAATGTTGCGTTTCAAGTGTATGAAGGCTCGCAACGCGTTGCGTCAAGTTTACTGCGGCCTAACACACCAAACACACACGATTTACTTTGATTAATCGCATGACATAACAATTCACGTGCGATGTTTTATGTGTTGGTCGCATACTCACTTCGTTAACCTTCACGCAGTCTCATTAGAGAATAACATGCTTGGCAACACTCAGGGGGCCCTTCCGCAAACGAGATCGCATCAGGCACAGCCTTATATCGCACAATGATTCATCATACCATCAATAGATGCCAGAAAGGCGGCGGGACATATGCCGCATGCGAACATGCACGCAATTAGACCCCCGCTGGCTGTGAGGCAGTTGTGGGGACATGCCTGGGAGGCTGAAAGGGCTTCCAGACGCATAAATCGCATCAGGCACCGTCTTGCACTGTGCCAACGATGTATGACACCATCAACTATTTGCCGAAATGTGGTGGGGAATGCTGCATCCAACACGCACACAATTAAACCCCCGCCGTGAGATGTGTCGGTGGCTGTGAGGCAAGTGGGGACATGCCTGGGAGGCTGAAAGGGCATAAATCGCAGTAGGAGCCATTGTATGCCGCAACAACGATGCATCATACCATCAACTAGTTGCCAGAAAGGCGGCGGGGAACGCGGCTTGATGAGTCATGCTTGGTAGGCAACCATCATTGGGAAGGGATGTAAGGGTGTCCTCCTCTCGGATGGGTCGACCTACTCCCAGTGGCTCGGCGACTAGGGCGATTTCCTCACAACATCCAAGTTGAAGAGTACATCAACAACCTGTCGCATCTGGGCCGCAACACCCAAGACACCCTGCAGGAGGACGCACAGGCGCTCGGCTACCTGCATCTGTCCTGTGAACTGCCCATCAAGCAGTTGCTCAGGAATTGCCAGACCACTCTCGCCGCCATGCAGCTCTTACAGCAACAGTTGTGTTCTGCATCCCAGGCCCGGCTGAGCCTGTTGGAGCTGCAGAGCATGTGTGATGGGAAGACGACCACTGACTTCGTTCAGCAGGCAGAGCAGCTCCGTAGCAATATAATCATGGCCGGCGGCCAGTGGGACGAGAGCACAATGCGCCACGCCATTCTCCATGGCCTGCCTCCGCAGTGCACCATCACCGTCGAGTTCACGGTGTATCAGCCCAACTTAACGACCCCACGTGCTTATGCTGCGTGAGAAGGAGAACAACCTTAAGACCCAAGCAAGCAAGACAAGCCTGGTGGGAGCTGTCGGCCCTGGCCGTGCTGCCAGTGGAATCGGCAGCACCGCCGGTGCTGCAGGCACCGTGGGGGCCGGCGACACCTGCCACTACTGTGGACAGCCTGGTCACTACGTTCACAAGTGTCCCATTAAGCAGGCGGACGAGTCTGTCGGCCTTCACCACAGCAACACATTTGAGCAGCTGCACGCCGCCGGCAACATCAGTTGAGGCAGCTGCAACTGTCACTATGACAGTGGCGGCAGGGGCACTGGCAGCGGCAATGGTGGTAACAGCAGGGCCGATAGAGCATGTGAATGTGGCCATGCCCGATGCGGCAACAGCCACTGCAACGGTGGCTACACTGCAGGCGGCAGCAGTGGCAGCAGCTCGGGCAGCAGCAGAAGCAGCTCACGCCAGAGCTGTGCCCCAGTGCTGGTCATCAACCGCAGTGGAAGCAGCTCACGAGTCACCCTTGACTCAGGCTCACCATACCAACTCACGGGTGACTGCTCCCTGCTGCACAACCATGTCCCCGCCGGCGTGCCACGGCTAATCGGGTGGGGCAACATGTCGTGGGAACAGGATGGACACAATGTCCGGCTGCACAACATGCTGCATGTCCCCAGCTCGGGCCTCACCCTGACGTCTGTCGACCTCATGGGAGGTTGACAGACCTCATGACACACGGCTACTCGGTCACGTTCAGCATGGACAAGACGGGCTGCTGGTTCTCATGCATCAGCCTCCTGCACAACAGCCCGTCTATAACCGCATGGAGTGAGCGTGGGCACTATGCATGGACGTGGACCTGCAGGCGCCGACTGACGCCACCATCAATGCCCTCAGCACCAGGGGCGACAGGGCTGGCGGGGGCCAGGCCACAGGTAGCAGCGCTGGCGGAAGTGCCACCACCGTCCCCAGCACCCGTGGTGGCAGCACCGCCGGCAGCCACACCGGTGGAGGCCAACCGAACGGCGACAGCAACAGCAAACGGCAACCAGGCGATGGCAGCCCCGGGGCCACTGAATGCTCAGTCGCCGAACTTGCGGCAGCACAGCGCCTGCACTGCCAGTACGGTCACCTCGGTTACCGTGTGCTGAAGCAGCTGATTAGCAAGCAGCTGGTGCAGGGGCCACAGGTCACTCCAGCGGCACTATGACAGGCGGTGGAGGCCGTCTGCGAGGCCTGTGTCACCGTGAAGGCCACCGCAACCACCCACCCCAGCCGCGGCAACCAGCTGTAGCAATAGGTCGCACTGGAGGTCGTACACTCTGACCTGTGCGGGCCCATGCTGACCATGGGCCGAGGGGGCGCACACTACTTGCTGATGCTGCTGGACGGTCCCACCGGTCTGTCCACCATCTGCATGCTGGCCACATCCACTTTACACGTTTAAACCACACAACCACCAAACACCCCCACCGAACAAACCATCAGGATCCTCCACTTCACCATGCATGTGCCATCAGAATAATACTAACAAAAATGATAGTGGGCCGGAAAAAGGAACTCTTGCCAGTTTAAATGGGGGGGACTAACGGCTCAACTCGACTGTAATCACAAATTTAGATGCTTAATTCTCCATACTGACATTCTCCTTTCACTTCGTCAATTGCTTATACTTTACTGTTGCAACAACTAGCAATGTGTGGGCAATGTGCACTGTACGACCAATGCAAGAAAACAAACCGTTTCAATCATTGGAAAAGGCACACAGCCCACATGCTTGCTATTGCCAGCCGATAAAAACTTTCGCCTAAAGCTTTCCAAGAACAAGGGGCAGGAGAGGGGGAAAAGTGCGGGGAAGTGGGGCAGCAGCCCCACGACCCCGCACATCCCCCCCAAGACCACCTGGCAACCGACATGCAATCATGATAGGAATGAGCGGGAGCCAAGGGAAACATTTAAAAGCATGATGGTTGACTTTATGACCTACGTTTTCGGCGTAAAGGGATTTCCAGCGGGATCCCTACGCCGGCTTTCCTGCGGATATCAATTGCGAAATAAGTAGTTAAACATTTCAGGGATAAAATACAACATAAATAACCAAAAAACATTAGTTCTGTTTTCACGTTAAGATCGCTGTAGGACGTGACCAGCAGGCAGTGGCACTGCCCGTTGGGCGTTGTTTTTGGACGGGGTTTGAGTTTTCATATCGCGAATTGCAAGGTAACGTATGAAAAAGCTCCGCTCGGGCCCATCTCGCTTCGAGCACCATGCTTTCGTGCGCTCTTGCGGGGACGCTGCGAGGCCAGCTGAGCTGCCTATGGGCCTGTTTGATCTGGTACATTTGGGACAGTCTTGAGTACGTTTTGCTAGGTAACGGCTTTGCCACTGGCCAGCATAAATGCAACCGTGCTGCATGTTTGGCCATGGCTGCTGGCAGGCGTGGAAACTTTACCAGGCAGGGGTGGTGAAATTTCGGGAGGTTGTACTACTGTGCAACTGACTTAATGACATGTAGCATGCACACGCACATACACACATCACCATCATGACGGTGCAACGCTTCCCATCCCCAGGGCCCCCTCGGCTTGTTGGCCTTCATTTTCCCCTTCTCGGATAATTTTTTGGCCCCAAGACTATTCGACATATCGAAGTGCATTTACATGCCTCCTCGCTCCTATCCCGTACAACTGAAGACAGTACGTTGGCTACGTTGACGGATACTGGCGAAAACAGCCTGGTGATGCTTTTCGATCAAGATATTGATGTTTTACAATTCGCCCTATCAGTGCGGAGAAGTGAAAAGCCCAGGCCATGTAAATCACTGGTTACACCTTTGGAGGATTTTAAAGTTCGTACAGATAGTTACGGATGTTCTTAGTTTTTCGTCACAAAAGTATTTTTGATACATCCGCTTTAACTTGCGATTGCATTGATGCATGCGGTATTAAGATGGGTGTTTCACGTATGATGGCGGAACCTTGCGCAAGGCTGCCATTTTTTGCAAATCGCACATCTTAACATCTTGTAGCTACATATTGATTATATTTCCGAAGAAACCTGACTATTACTCATTCGAAGAACCAATAAGCATGTCAATGCCGTGTTAGCACTTCTGTTACATTAACGCGCTGTTGGCTCATTGACCCCAAAACAGTCATAGTAGTAATCATGACTCCGTCATACAATAGAAATGCGGAGACAGCTGACGTGGAGCTCTCGCAATGGCAGGTTCTACAGGAGAAAATGAACACGTGCAGCACAGAGCCAGTCCTGCCGGATGCTGAGGTGAACAAACTGCTGAAGACAATCTTTACAGATCATGTCCTAGGTAAGGACTTTCCGGCCCAGGTAGACGAGAGGAAAGCAGATGTTTGCGTTGTAGGGGTTACCTTGCCGTCAGGCACAACCTTGCAGCTCACAGATCGTCCTTTTCAGGAGCAGGTCGGCACACAGCGGAAAGGCCCCTTGTGGGGAAGGGGTAGTACATGGGATAGTACATAGTGGCCGATTGAAGGATCCGGCAGGGACTGGGGATGGTGTAGTTGTGGGTGAATGGGAATGCTGTTGTGGCGGCTGAGGAAGACATGATGCGGGAGGGCACGGGGAGAGGAGTAGGAGGGCTCTGCCAAAAGAACGACCGCTCCCAGCCATTTCCTGGAGGCTGTAACGCCCTCCACAGCATCTTCATGTCGCCCTGCAATCCAGCAGCGCCCGTGCCAACCTTCAATCCTCACCTCCACCCTCACACGGACATCTCGACACCCCAACCCTAAAATCCGAAAACCCTCCGACCTTTTTTTAGCTCAAAACGTTTCAATCCCAATCCCAGGGTTCCATTCATTTTCCTCGAACCTGAGCCCGCTCTGCCCTGCCTCTACTTCCCCGCTCCCACAACCTTTCACCCTTCTTCGTGTTTCCCGTCCCGGCCCAAACCCCCTCTCTCTCTCCCCCTCCCTTTCCCCCCTCTCTTTCCCCCGCCTCGCACAAATACACACACGCATATACCACCTACCCTTCAGCCGACCACCCCGACTTTGTCAAGTACTTCAAGAACCAGCACCGCGGACGGCCCCGGGAGGACCACTTGCTAAGGAAAGCCGCAGTGGCATCTGCGGCCGCAGCCCAACAATATCCCAACCCTTTCCAACACCAGCAGCAACCCCCCGGACCCACCCACAAGAACAGCAATCCCTTACTCCAAACCTTGCGATGGGTGCTGCACATGTGGCACCTCAGCCTAGCACGCTACAGGGCCTGGAGGCCCCGTGTACAGCTGTACCTGCTGCTGTCCTGTCCGGAATACTCCCCCCTGGCTATGGCCATCAGCTTATTCATGATTGCAGCCATTGTCCTCAACACAATCACGTTTTGTTTGGAGTCGGTACCCTCCGTGGAACGAGATACGGAAGTGTACGACAGGCTCATGTGCGTCTGGCTAGGGGGGCTGCGTGACGTGGTCGAAGGTCGAAGTCGGGGTGGGGATCGGGGTGGTAGGGCTGGGGGTAGGGCTGGGGGTAAGGGTAGAAGTGGGGGTAAGGGTAGAAGTGGGGGTAAGGGTAGGAGTGGGGGTAAGGGTAGGAGTGGGGGTAAGGGTAGAAGTAGGGATAAGGGTAGGAGTGGGGGTAAGGGTAGGAGTGGGGGTAAGGGTAGAAGTGGGGGTAAGGGTTGAAGTGGGGGTAAGGGTAGAAGTGGGGGTAAGGGTAGAAGTGGGGGTAAGGGTAGAAGTGGGATGAGGGGTGGAACCGTACCTTTTTTTCCTAGAAATCAAAATGCACCAGTGCCCACCCCCATATATTGAGCGACAAGCTATCGCAACCCAAAGAGATATCTGCCTCATTTTTACCGAGTGGTGGAATGAGGGGTGGGTGGGACGTGGCAATGGGACGTTAGCGATGGGCATGGGAGGGGCGTGCGGGGAGGGATTGGGGAAGGATAGCTGTGTGTGTCGTGTGTCGTTTTGGCCTGGTTGTCAGTAGCTCGATGTGTGGCTGGGTGGGTAGAGATAGGTGGCTGGCTTCTCTCCCTCCCTCCCTCCTCGCAAGCGTCGACGACAACATCATCATCATCATCAGCTCGTTGCGCGCGCACACACGCATACATACATACATACATACATACATACATACATACATACATACATACATACATACATACATACATACATACATACATACATACATACATACATACATACATACATACATACACACACCGCCGTACGGGTCCAACGAGGCTTCTAATCTTCTCCCCCCTTACCCCCTCCCTCTCCAACCCGCACACCCTTACCTACCTGGCCTGCATTTCCCTTCACCACCACACACCCATTCACGGCCTCCCTCATAATGACAACGACTATTCCCTCCTTGCCTACTCCCTCCAGCCTAATCGATTACGTGTGTCTGGGTTTGTTCACCGTGGAGTTTGTCGTACGCTTCCTGACGTGCAACAGCTTCACCCGGTTCGCCTTCAAGCTGATGAACTGGGTGGACCTGGCGGCCATTGCGCCCTTCCTCGTGGAGCTAGCGGTGGCGGGGCCGGATAATGAACAAAGTGAGGAGAGGAGGGGGAGAAGGAAGGAGGGGGAGAAGGAAGGAGGGGGAGAAGGAAGGAGGGGGAGAAGGAAGGAGGGGGGGAGAAGGAAGGAGGGGGAGAAGGAAGGAGGGGGAAGAGGGAGGGGTGGGGCCCTTGGTGTGTGGTGGCACACATTCCGCATTTCTGTCTGCCCATCTGGGGGCCCTGGAGATGTATGCCGGCACAACACCCCTCATCCCATTTCCGGCGCACATACATACAGAGATACAGACAAACAGACAGACAGATAGACACACCGTCGCCCCCTGGCCCCTCCCCCTGCACACACAGACGCCTCTCAGACACGGATATTCCGGTTGATTCGTTTGATCCGGATTCTGCGGCTGCTGAGGGCTAGCTCCAGGTGGGAGGGGGTGAGAGAGGGGAGGGAGCAGAAGGGGAGGGCGGGAGGAAGGGGAGGGGATTGCACAGAATAAAAACCGGAGGGAAGGGAAGGAGAGAAGGAAGGGAAGGGAGGAGGGTTTAGGATGGGAGCAAACCGACCCGGGCATGGGGGAGCTGGGTGGTGGGTTAAGGGGGGCCGGGAAGAGGGGGAAACAGTTGTGCAACGAAAGAGAGAGGACTGACGATAGCCCAAACCCAAACCCCAAGTCCAAACCCCAAGTCCGAACCCCAAGTCCAAACCCTAGCCACATCCCCACATCAACCCCTATACCTTCCTGAATTCCCCCTCTCCCTGCCCCTGCCCCTCTGCCTCAGGTTCCGAAACCTTCAGTTGGTAGTTGACGCCCTATCTGCCAGCCTGGATGTGATCGGCATGTTGGTGGTGGTGTTGGGGGTGCTGCTGGTGGTGGCCGGTACGGTGGTGTATTACGTGGAGGGTGCCTTGGTGAAGGACACGTGGTTCGACTCCATACCGCTGACCATGTACTACATGCACGTGGGTCCTTCGTGGGAAAAAAGGGGGGAGTGGCAAGGGGGGGGGAAGGGGGGAGAAGGTAGGATGTGGCTTTTGGGGGAGGGGAACGCTGAGGTTAATGAGGAGGAAGGGTTGGGGGTGGCTGTCGGGGTTTTCCTCATACAGTCTCGTACAGGCTCATACAGTGGATAAAGGGGAGAGGTGTGTATCCGTGTGCATGTTCATACGTGTGTGTATATTCATTTCATCATTTGTTTGTGTTCCAGCCTATCATACTCCTTTCCCACAGGCCCCCCCCACACGCTCCCTATCCCCTTTCCCTCCGCCTGGGCACCGATGGCTCGCCCTTCCCCTTCCCCCTTTCACCTCTCCTCCCACCCAACCACCCACCCACCCCACACTACCCGCCACAACCCCACCCCTACCCCCACCCCCACCCCCACCCCCACCCCCCGACAGGTCACCTTCACCACCACCGGCTACGGCGAATACTACGCACAATCCACCTGGGGGCGCCTGGTGGTGGGCGTGTTCATGTTGCTGTGTATGGTGACCGTGTCATTACCCATTGGTGTGGTGGGGGGGAACTTCTCCACACTCTGGACGCGCTACGTGGGGCTGCGGGATGCCATAGGGCGGAGCCTGGAGGCCTGGGGAACCCGGGCCAAATTGAGGGGGCTGGCGGCTAAGCACTGTACGGCAGTGGACGAGCTTGTTACGACGGCTTTGAGGTTAAAGGTGATGGGGAGCCGTGGGTGTGTATCCATGGGTTGGGTTGATGTGGGGGAGGGGAGGGGCACCGGAGTTGCACGGTACGGCAGGAAAACACACACTTAGGCACAGTGAACAACGGACACCGAGCTTAGCCTATCCGGGGCCCCGGTGGGATCTCTTTTTGAACCCAACCCCTCTCCGTGTCCCCCACCTCCTCCTCCCAACAAACCGCCCCGCCCCGCCCCGCCCCGCCCCGCCCCGCCCCGCCCCGCCCTGCCACGGCCCCACCCTGTCCTACGTGGCAGACTGCCCTCGAGGAGGGCTCTGCTATTACTGCTGCTACTGCTACTACTGCTGCTGCTGCTGCCATTGGCAATATTGGTGCTCGTGGTCGGAGTTCCCTCCAGGCGGGGGGTCTTCAGGCGGTGCGGGACGACTTGTCAACATTGCATGCTAACTTGCAACGACTGGCAATGGAGGGGGAGGGGGAGGTGAGAGGGGGGCCGGAAGATGTGTGAATGTGTATGGGTATGTGTATGGAAGGAGAGGCCCCTGGGGGAGGGGAGAAGAGTGTGTTGTGTGTGTATGTCTGTGTGTGTCTGTGTGTATGTGTCTGTGGGAAGGATGGAATGTGTGCAGGTGGGTCCTTATTTATCCTTAGCCTCTGAATAGCCCGCCCTTTTGTCCTTCCCTTCCTCATATCTCTTGTCCTCCATCCCCCCTCCCCCCCCTTCTTCCCCCTCCCCCCCTTTGGAACCCCAGAACACGGCCCTCCTTGCGGCCCTACGGGAGTCCCTATCCGACATGGGGAGCAGGTTGGGTGAGGCGGGGGACCGGCTGGGGCACCTGCAGGTGTGTGGGGGGTGGGGTGGGGGATGTGGGGATGTGTTTGGGTGTGTAGATGGTGGTTGGTTGGGTTGGGTCGTTCATCAGTTAGTTAGCTGGCTTTGCAGGACAGCAGACGACGGATTACCGTAGCCATCCCGGTCGCGAGTTCATTCAGAGTTTTCTCTTTCCTCTCTTTCCTTCCTTTTTCCTTTCCTTTTCCTTTCCTCGTTCACTTTCCCAATTGGGCATTCACAGGGTGAAGGAAGGCTAGCGAACCCCAAAGGCTAACCTAGGCCCACCTACTCTCATCCACACATGTAACTTGGGGCTTTTCAGTAGTTCTTTAATGAAATCAGGATCGTAATAAATTCAGGATTAGAATACCGTAGCGGAACTAAAGATTTTACAAAATAAATAATTATTTGCATGCGGTAAAATATTTTGGCAAAATTCAGAGTCTTTCTGTAAAATCTTTAGTTCCCGGGAGGGAATTCGGAGCGATGCCGTAAAATATACATGGCCCTTCACGCACAACAGGCTTTTGGCACTACCTATTATACTATTTTATACAGAATATTGTAACATATCACTATATCAACCTATTTCTGGCAGCAGCATGGGCAAGCGCAAGCTCACCAAACACCGCTTCATTGACAAGCTGCCGGCCATACCATACCATATACGGCAATGCTCTCGCGTCCTTCATCAATCATAAGAATTCTGCGGCTGCTACAGAATGGTGGATGTTTGGAGGCCGTGTCACGGTGGCTTGGCTTCCAGATGGGGGTTTACAATTCGGAGATTCTTAGTTTGAGACGTGTCGTAATGATTCTCATTGCCCCTTATGCGTGAGAGGGAGGCGGGCAGTGGTGTTGCATGGTTGGGTAGCTTTGCGGGCCAGTAAAATCCCAGGAAATCATCCACAGTACCGTAAAATCTTGGCAAAATCCGCCAGCATGCGGTAAAATACTTCGTTCCGTAAAATATATTAAAATCCATAATTTTGCGGTAAAATCTTTATTTTGTAAAATCTTTAGTTCCGCTACGGTATTTAGCACGTGTCTCACCCTCTCTCCGCACATTCCCCCGGCGTGTTCCCTCCCCCCAAACGTACATACATACGCAAAACACACAAACACGCGGAATCACCCGCCAATCCCACTATTTCCCCCACAGGCTCTCCTGTCACTGGTACCGCGGGTGTCCAGCTCGGATGTGACTGCCTCCCTGGAGGGGTTGCATGCCGTACACCAGGGCATTGCACAGCGAGCCACGGAAGGTGTACAGCAGGCCAGCCGTACACGGCAGGTGCTCGCGGATTTGCGTGCCATGCGGGAGGTGCTGAAAGCGGAGGAAGATGAGATGTACGGCACCTATGAGGGGTCGTACCGCGAAGAAGAAGAGGGCGGCGTGGATGGCATGAAGGGGAGGGCGAACCAATAGGCGGCGGCGACGGTTGGCCGGTGTGTGTGTGCGTGTGTATGTGTATGTGTCTGTGGGTGTGGGTGCGTGTGCGTGTGTGTGCGTGCATGTGCGTGTATATGTATATGTATGTATTCCGGTTGAGTTCTCCCTTTGAGATCTGGGGTAGTTATGTCAGTGAATAATCCGGGAAGGCGGGACCATCCTTGTCGGGGTAAAATTACAACTAGTTGGTTCGGATAAGTAGGTTTGTATGTATGTATGTATGTATGTATGTATGTATGTATGTATGTATGTATGTATGTATGTATGTATGTATATATACTACTGATTGTCACATGGGGCACTTCCAGCAGCCCATGCTGCTGTCATGCAGGAGAGGGGAAGAGTTCCAGAGGGCTCCTGTGTACCTCCGTACACACCGTACAGCCGTCCTCCTCTTTAATGCGCCGTGTAATTGATAAAACTGAGTTCTTGCAGGCAGCCGGGTATGTGTGGGACTGTTTCCATGGTATGGACTATTTCCTTGGTAGCTTGGTTAGGGAAACATTACCTCCCCCTGCGGGAGGGTTCGACAGAGGGTGCTGACGGGGGGGCATAACTTCTGAAAAGCAGAGGGAAGGTCCTGGGGGATGGGATGATGGCTCTGTCTCTGTGTGTTGCATATCAATCCGGGCCTGACGCTGGCTAGGGGTGCCCCAGCGGGAAGGAGCGACCGCCGAAGCACTCCATCGTTGGAGGGGCGTCATATCGGTCAGAGTCCTAACCGATCTCTGTGTGTGCCTCTGTCCATTAAGGGCCCAGCACCAAAACGGTCCCTCGGGGCTGCTGCACCTGGATGGTCTTCATGCGTTGGGTTTGATTGTGTATATCTTTTTGTGCGTGTGCGTGTGTGTGTGTCTGTGTACATGTGTTTGAAGGGTATGCTCCTGGCCGCATGTGTGTGCCCTCTGCGGGTGCATGGTGATTCCACAGCAGCGGAAATGGTTGGCAGGACCCACCTCACGTCGCCTCGTACCCTGCACCGAGTTGACAAAATGAAATTGAGTACCATAAGTATGCCGGTCTTGAGAATTGCAACCGGTAGTAACTGTTTACTTACTTCCACAGCCCGCTTGGGACAGCACTCCCTGGGGGCATGTGAATTTCGTGTAGAAGTGCATATCAGCCTGGGGCAGCGGGGGCCTTGTGTGCGGATGTGCCAGGGTGTGGGCTGGTGGGGTGGAGGTGATCGGAGGGCTGATGTGAACCGGATTATAGACTGCTTGCTGGTTGGCTGGGTGGCATCGCTTGGACAAACCCCAGTTGCTTTACTACTGTAAGGATGTGCGGAGTGTGCACATGACACATAATGCGGCGGTTCCTGGCCATGTACAGGCATCGGCAAATTCGTATTCCAGCCCCATCGATGGTGGCGTACTCTTCCTGGTGCGAAGCCGCAGGGAGGACACGGAAATCACCTGCTACGGCTATCACGAATTGGAGAATAGACGTGCAGTGCAATCCAAGTCGCAGCGTGGAGCAATTGGATTCTGTCCTGAATCCACAGCACACCGCGCACAGCGACCGGACGCGAGATTACGTTATTCTGTTTTAGTAATTCAGGTTTACCTTGCACCAGTTACTTGGTCGGCCTCGAATATAATACGAGCATACTGTTCAATGGCTACAACGGAGCTTGATGGCGACGAACTTGAGCGCGCATTTGATGAAGCCGCTTGGGATGCAGAGGAGGTAGGCTTTAATGAAATGTGCGCTAAGGTGCTACCTACACTCTTGCTAGGGTCAAGATGCATCTGCTCTAACGGCCGCAGGAAGGAGGCAGTCGAACTTTGACCTTAACTGAACAACAATGTAACGAACCGAACTCACAGATAACCCAGGAGGATGTTCCGACAGTGGAAGGTGGTGACAACCCTGCTCGGTCGCATCGCGCTCCCATGGCTCTCTTGCACCTACCTCGTGAAATGCTGTTGCGCGTGCTTTCGCTAGTTCCGGCTACTGGATTGACCTCGTGCGCATGCGTCTGCAAGGCGTTATCGGCTCTGGCCTCGGACGACACTGTTTGGCGTCGACTTTACGTAGCAAGGTGTGTTAAAGCGATTGCGTGAACTCTTCTTGGCTCAAGGCCGCCCATCCCACCAGCCCACTTGCTTGGAACTTCCAAACCACTTGCAGGTGGGGCAAGCCCAATCAACAAGTCCGGGGCAGCGCACGGTGGAAGGTGTGCATGGCTGGGGAGGCAGGGAGAAGGGAAGGGCCCTAACCCGTTTGGTTGACTGAAAGGTCTGTGCGAGATATCGTGAACATCCTATTGCCATTTCGCTCATTTCCCCGAAAAACACGTGCTGTAAACCCTTGTCAATTGAGCCAACAGAATCCAGTAACAGGAGCATGGGTGCATGTGGCTTCCTTGCTCCGTCCATAAACCAGGTTTGCTTCCCTTTCTACTGCTTTCCCTTTCTGGGCTTGTTCCGCAGCGCGTGTACCTGGACGCGGACAGCGAGGAGTGGGAGGCCACCACACGCAGCAACGGCAGCTGCAACGGCAGCGGCAGCTTCACTAGCGGCGGCAGCAGCAGCAGCAACAGCAGCAGCAGCTACTGCAATGGCGGTGGCAATAATGACGACCCCTTTCTCGGTGCCATGTTCCTGGATATGTTGCGAGCCAAGCGTGACCTGGTACCTGACCGCCGCCTGCTTGATCGGGCAGCGGAAGTAGACCCCGGGGACATAGCCGCCAAGGTATGTGATGTGCGTGGGGGGGCCATGACGTGGGGCATGGTCTTGGCTCCATGGCTCCTTGGTGGTTCCCCAGTGTGGTGTGCTTCTGGAAGGGACCGGGACCTGAACAGGAACTCAGGAAACACCGCCAGGGCTTGGGAAGGAGGGAAGGAGGGAAGCAGTTGGGAGTTGGATTCCCCGTGACGTAGCTGTGGGACACTGCTGTCTGCCTGTCAGTCCGTCTGTATATACGTACATATGCATACAATATATACACACATGTATAAATGTTTATATCTTCACATACGCACACACATGTATATATATATGTGTGTGTGTGTATATATGAATGTCCAGGACCTAGGGATCTGCGTAATCTCTATGGCTCAGCAGCAAGCGCAGCGGCCAATCAAACCGTACATGCCCCAAAGCCTGAACCGATTTGGTAACTCAAATTGGTAAAATTCCTCTCAGCCCCCAGACTATGTATCATGTACTACGTATTCATGTGCCCACGTGTGCTATCCACAGCACCCCCTGATTTAATAAATCCCCCCGATATGTAATTCCCGCCATTTCGTCCAGGTGGCCGCCTGGCGCCGTGCTCGAGGATTTCACCAACACGACGGCAGCGGTGCTGGTGCGGATACCAGCGGCAGCAGTGATGCACACCCGCCACCGCCGCCGCGACCTGACCTCAGCCACCGCGGCCGCGCTTCACTCAGTTTTACCCGCGTGAACCCCGGCGAATTGCCTCCCGTCTATGCGTGTGACCAGACCGGGTGGGTTCATGTTTGTGGAGATGCATGTAATGAAGGTGTGGTGGATGCACGCAGCGAGTTGCTGGTGTGTCCCGTGTCGGGGCAGACGACGGACCGGCTGGTGCATGAGTGCGAGGAGGGCGATGGCGAGGAGGATGACGGTGGACGGTGCGGGGTTGGCGGTGGCGGCAGAGGAGGCGCCGGGGAGGAGGACGCCGGGCTGGGTGTGTTTGGAGGTGGGTTTGGGTTTTTGGTTTGGCTGGGGGGTCGACCTAGGTGGGGCACCTGGAAGTCATCAGTTCATCGCCATGCCTGTCTGTAACTCTTACGTACGGCTTTTTGCGAATTTCTTAGGTTCTACTCTCCTATTTTTCCATGTCTTGTCCTGTCTGTGCATCTTCTTTCATCACCTTCTTGAGTAGCTCAGCGGCTAGCTTCCATGCATCTATCTATTTATCTATCTACCTATTAACCTATCTATCTATCTATCTATTAACCTAGCTTCCTACCATGCTACCATCCTACCTAGCTACCCATCCGTCCATCCATATACTAATCTGTCACCCGCCACACGTCACTCTTAACCACTCTTCCGCATTCAGTCCCGCGCGGCTACCTCGCCTGTCTCCCCTGCCTTGCATCAGGCGGCTTCGGCTCCTTCTTTGCGGCGGGCTACGAGTGCGAGAATGAAAAGGCTCTCAACAAGTTGTTAGGGTACAAGGCGCTGTGAGCTGTGAAGGTTGCGCCATATGCACATGTTGTTGGTCTTGTTGGTGGTTGTGGTGGCGTGGGTTTGCCGGTTGTGTGTGGCGTGTTGGCATTGGGGGGAAAGGAGGATATCCGTGCCGCGGTGCAGGTGTGGGCTTGGCAGTGAGAGCGAATGAAAAGATATGGTGGACGATGCTGCTGCTGTAGCTGTTGCTGCTGGTTTCCTTGGTGCAGTAGCTCCTATGTAAATTTTTGGTGTTGCAGCTGCCTTGGATGGGGTGCTTGCTTCTGAACAACATCTGCACTACCAGGCAGGTAGGGAGGTGATCAGCCTGGCTTTGATGCTGGGCGGGGTCATTAAAACGTTCGGACAAAAGTCAGCATCAGCCGACTCCTAGCTGTGCGGTGCTGGCGGACTCGTCTCCCTGGCGCAAAAGCGCTGTTGTGCTAGAAGTCCATGGGCCGGGGGGCTTTTGTTGGTGTGAAGTTAATCTGTGCATCTGTGCATCTCTGTGTGTTCCCTAAGCGCTAATATGATCGGGTGATGGATCCATCCTGGGCCCCCCACCTCGCGTCCCTGCAGTCGGAAGTTCAGACATGCATCCCTTTCATACCAAGGGTCTCTCCTTGCAGTGTGCATCGGTTGTGTGCACTGCTCTCGTTGGTCGTAGGTCGTAGGTCGCAACTTCGATCCTAGCAATTCGCAGGCAGCTGATCATCCTTGGATGTGGAAGGAGTTAAGAGGTGTGTGCCCTTGGTCAAGTGACTCTATTGGTGATAGTGTGCTATGTGACAAACTATTGGTGTGGCGCACCGTTATCAATCAGCCCGCAGCCTTCTTTAGCAAGGTAAGGGCAAAACATTTTTGGTCCGGTCCATCATCAACAACCTTCTCACCATGCGCAGGTACTGGTGTTCGATATGGATGAAGTGACGATGAACCTGTTTATCGCATGCTGTGCAAATGTACGTGTATCGCATGCACCCACATACACCCCAGGGAACCAACATTGGTTTTGCAAAACCGCACACGCAAGCGCGCGATTGCACACAGGTTTGCATCCATAGTGGAGACTCAATGCGTATGGCCCATACGGGTATGGCACCGGGTAAGCATGCCGGACCCGCAGAACCTGCCACACTACATGCAGCTATGTTCGCTAGCGAGACAGATGCTATGGCAACCAACAAGTAACCAAGTCCTACTGATTCAGATAAGCTCCACCCACCCAGCAGAGCCAATCCATCCAGCTTTAACTTGGCGCCTTGTCTCCTGTTTGCCTCCTAGCTAATGCCACCATCACCTATCATTATACTAAAGGGTTTTATTATACTTCGAACTCGGAAACCTGCTTTGCCCGGAAGTAGGAAAATCTTATTTTAGGGCGTAGCCAAAAATGTGGTTTGAAGAGGGGCGTCAGAGCGGCGTCGTACGGTGCGGTTAGTTTGTTGTTATTTTGAACTGCTGTTTGCTCGGTGGTGTTTCGTCTTGTCGAATTATCTTCCGGGTGATCTCGGACTCGGCTGCTGGTTGATACGAGCTCTCTTTACCAGAACAGCTGCTAGCTGCCGCTGTTATTGTCCGTTGGTCAGCGGTGTGGTTTTGACGACCTTTCTTTAGATAGTTAATCGGCTACCAAATTATCAAGGGCTTGGCACACAAGGGTTTATCTTTTGAACTCACAAGTCGCTAGTTCCCGCATAGCAAAGCTGCTTGGCGCCTGCAAAGAAACATGGCGCAACAGTTGATGAGGACAGCAACCCAGCAAACAAACAAACAGCTAGCAGGAGATGTTTGGGGACAGGAACCCCCATGGACCATTGTCATCACGGCCAGAGGACAGCAAAAGCAAGCAAACAGGTGGCGCAGCACTACAAGACAGCATCCGAGGCGCAGCAGACCCAGAAGCAGCTCAACGACATGTCACAGCTACTGCCCTACAAGGAGGTCATCCGCCTGGCAAGGGAGGGGGACCCGCACAAGACCTCCCTCGTCGCCTGCCTCGCTTCTCTCTCCTCCGAGCAGCGAGCGTACCTGGGCGCGGCGCTTACAGGACAGACTAAGTCGGCCAGCCGGTCCGGATGCAAGCGGTCCTTCGCCGCCACGTTGGCCCCCGGGGGGGGCCCCCCCCGAGAGGGCCCCGAGGACGTCACGTGCCTAATCTGCAACCAGCGGGGCCACCGCTTTCAAAACTGCCCACAACTCCAGGCCATACCCCGGGACCAGCAGCAGGCAGCGGTCGACAGGGCTCGGGCGCGCTTGCGGGCGGGCGCCCGTGGGGCACCGGCTTCAGCATAGGTCGCGGAGGCGCCGGCCGCCGCTTGCCCCCTCCCTGGAACGCCACCGGAGCGGCCGGGGTCTGGGGGCATACCCATCAAGGCGGCCGGCGCCCAACAACAAGCGGACGTCGCTGCCCAACGTGAGTTCCATAAGGGGCAACTTGTGCACCCCGTCCCCGTTGGGCCTTGCTTGCGTGTCGTGAAGAGGCCGAGTTATAGTGCGGCGTGCCTTGCTTAGTGCGCCTGTCAGTGTTTTGGGGAGGGACTGCTCCGCGTTGCCCTGTGTTGGGTCGTACCTGCCTTGTTCGCGAGCCGGCGTTGGAGCTGCCCTCCCCATCGGGCGATAGACGGGGCGTGCACCGCGATATCGGCCCCCTCCTCGGGGATAAGGAGGCGTCGTGCTGATGTTTAGCCCAGCTGGAGGGCCCCCACACGCTGCGGGTTAGAGCTGCCCTCCCCGTCGGGCGATAGACGGGGCGCGCACCGCGATATCGGCCCCCTCCTCGGGGATAAGGAGGCGTCGTGCTGACGTTTAGCCCAGTTGGAGGGCCCCCACACACTGCGGGTTAGAGCTGCCCTCCCCGTCGGGCGATAGACGGGGCGCGCACCGTGATATCGGCCCCCTCCTCGGGGATAAGGAGGCGTCGTGCTGACGTTTAGCCCAGTTGGAGGGCCCCCACACGCTGCGGGTTAGAGCTGCCCTCCCCGTCGGGCGATAGACGGGGCGCGCACCGCGATATCGGCCCCCTCCTCGGGGATAAGGAGGCGTCGTGCTGACGTTTAGCCCAGTTGGAGGGCCCCCACACGCTGCGGGTTAGAGCTGCCCTCCCCGTCGGGCGATAGACGGGGCGTGCACCGCGATATCGGCCCCCTCCTCGGGGATAAGGAGGCGTCGTGCTGACGTTTAGCCCAGTTGGAGGGCCCCCACACGCTGCGGGTTAGAGCTGCCCTCCCCGTCGGGCGATAGACGGGGCGCGCACCGCGATATCGGCCCCCTCCTCGGGGATAAGGAGGCGTCGTGCTGATGTTTAGCCCAGTTGGAGGGCCCCCACACGCTGCGGGTTAGAGCTGCCCTCCCCGTCGGGCGATAGACGGGGCGCGCACCGCGATATCGGCCCCCTCCTCGGGGATAAGGAGGCGTCATGCTGACGTTTAGCCCAGTTGGAGGGCCCCCACACGCTGCGGGTTAGAGCTGCCCTCCCCGTCGGGCGATAGACGGGGCGCGCACCGCGATATCGGCCCCCTCCTCGGGGATAAGGAGGCGTCGTGCTGACGTTTAGCCCAGTTGGAGGGCCCCCACACGCTGCGGGTTAGAGCTGCCCTCCCCGTCGGGCGATAGACGGGGCGCGCACCGCGATATCTGCCCCCTCCTCGGGGATAAGGAGGCATCTTGGTGGCGTTTGTGTTTTGGCCAATCTGGACTTGGTGAGGGGGGAATTCTTGAGGGAGGAATCGCCCCAGGCGCCTACCCCGGCGGTTGGTACCGCTGCACCACTTGCTTGCTTGCGGTGGCGGGGATCGGATCAGTGGCCCTTGGGAGTGTTACGGAGGAACTGGCACAGCTGGCTGTGGCGTTACACGGCAGCGCGGTCGCAGACAGCTCATCGGTCACCTACGAGTCGAGGCGGCGACGGTGCAGGGCAAATGCGGAGCCGCGGAGGGCGACGGAGTTCACCCAGGACGCCTGCTGGCAGGTGTTGGGGTTTTTCGGAATGCTCCGGAGGAGCGAGTTGGCGGCCCTGACAGTGGGCTGCGTTGAGGAGTTGCCGGGAGGGGGTGTAGGGCTGCAGATCGTACGTAGCAAGACGGACCAGAAGGGAGCGGGGACGTTGGTGTGCCTGGCAGCACTCACCCAGAGCGGCATCCCCATTGCTCGCATACAGCGGCACCTGGAGTGCGTGCGGACGGCCGAGGGTCACTCCCCGCTCTTCGTACGGGGAATCACTGGGCCGGGTAAGCAGGGCACGGTGTGGCGGCGCGGGGATTTCACTAGTAGGCTGCATGTGTTGCTGGGTGAGTTGCAGGGGTACGAGCCGGAGTTGAAGCTAGATCTCGCTAGGATATCGGCCCACAGCTTGCGCAAGGGCGGGGCCACCGCGGCTGCCAATGCTGGGGTGGGTCTGGAGGAGATTAAGGCGCACGGGCGGTGGAGGTCTGATGCGGTGCTGGTCTATATCCGCCGGTCCGTTGCGGTGAGGCGGACAGTGGTGGAGCGAATGTGACGCGACTGGGTGAGGGGGGATGTTTCGCTGGGTTAGGCGTGGGGCCAAAGTAACCCAAGCGAGGCCGTCGGCTGCCTGCTGGTTACCAATGCGGAAGAGCACGGTAGCCCGGAAGGGCCGCACGAAGTAGCATGCGGGCTCTGGCAGGCAGGCTGGGCGTCTCTTCTCCCCAACCATATGTCCACGTCCCCGGTGCCTTGTTCGTATTAGTTGTACTGTAACGAACGCGTTTTGGGTTTCTCGTCCCGGTTCTTGGTCTGGCTAGCTGCTCAGGCCGGATTCAAAATCTTATTTTAGGCGTAGCCAAAAATGTGGTTTGAAGAGGGGCGTCAGAGCGGCGTCGTACGGTGCGGTTAGTTTGTTGTTATTTTGAACTGCTGTTTGCTCGGTGGTGTTTCGTCTTGTCGAATTATCTTCCGGGTGATCTCGGACTCGGCTGCTGGTTGATACGAGCTCTCTTTACCAGAACAGCTGCTAGCTGCCGCTGTTATTGTCCGTTGGTCAGCGGTGTGGTTTTGACGACCTTTCTTTGAAAGTGGCAGTTGCGATGTTTCCACAAACCGTGCGCTTCCTGGTTATTGGAGCCAGACGACTTGCTTGCGCCTACCGACAACCTTGCTTGCGCAGGAAGATCTCCTGCACACCAACATTTGGATCTGCCATGGCCCTTTTGTACATACTTTAGCACGCCTGCTGTACGCATTGTGCTACGAACCCCACGCGCCTGCTCAACAACGCAGCAATCTCTACTGTTGGTCCTCTTAAGTACCTCCCCTCTGGTTCCAGCAGCGTTGCCATTCCCTGACCCGATGACTACAGCAGCTGGTCCCTGTTGGCATCTGGGCCCCAAATCTCTGCCCAGTACTTAATAACAGACTCACACCGTACGCAGCTGATCCCACGCCAAGCCACCCACCTCGACTTCGTACAGCCGTCTGTAGAATTTGAATCTAGGGACCGTCCATTCTATTGTACCAGGGTGAGATCTACAGACAACCAAACTAGTCAGAGTTTTATTTGGATTTTCCTGCACTCTGGGAAAAAGGGGGGGTCGAGATTCCATAAAATGAGGCTCTCTTTTTCCATAGAATGAGGTCCTATTTTTCCATAAAATGGCATGTCCTTTTCCATAATATCTCCACAATTTTATGGAATGCGGCCACGCCCCACTGCCAAAAAAGGCGGGCGGTAGCCTTTCACCCCAGGAAGACGGTTGGTAACCTGTACGGCAGTACTACAGGGCCGAGAATGGTGGGCGGTTACCTGTACGGCAGTCCAGCTACCTTTCACACCGGCGCTGACCTTGAAGGCAGTCCACACGAGAAAAAAAGGCGGGTGTGACCTGTCATGTTAATCTTTATGCTATGTGTTGAAAGGTTACAGTGTAGGAGTTTTCTGGGCCCCTGGAACACAATGTCATTCCTAGCCACTATACAGCACCGTCCACCATGACTACAACTGCTGTACTAACTGTGAGTCCAAGGCCGGTGACCCCTGTCGCCTAGGCTCCCTTCTCGTCCATTCACACCAATACACTGCGCGAATCTGGTCCATCAATTCCACATCTCGGAAGCTAGCCATAATCCCCGGCTCCAAGCAATGTCATGGGTTCGCAGACATCGAACCCAGGACTTTGAACTAATGCTAAAGGGTGGCAGCAGCAGGGACAAGAAACCCAACCAAAAATGAAGTAATGCTGTCGTCTTGACCCATGCCAGAACTCATGCCATAGGAAGTAATCCGGCTTAATTACATTTGTCACATCAACAATTTTAACACACAACACAATACCACGATTCTATGGGGACAGGCATTCACATATAGACTCTCCCCAAGAACCATACACATTTTCCGATGCGTGGTACATAGTCACATTAGAAAGTAACTTGGACAATTCCAACAGCACTTTTTGGATCCGCAAGTTTGAACCCAACAGCTGAGTACTTGCCCCAGGCGGCAGGCGTTGACTTAGTCGTTTCACTCCGAACAGTATTGTTGTGATCCGCAAGTTTGAACCCAACAGCTGAGTACTTGCCCCAGGCGGCAGGCGTTGACTTAGTCGTTTCACTCCGAACAGTATTGTTGTGATCCGCAAGTTTGAACCCAACAGCTGAGTACTTGCCCCAGGCGGCAGGCGTTGACTTAGTCGTTTCACTCCGAACAGTATTGTTGTGATCCGCAAGTTTGAACCCAACAGCTGAGTACTTGCCCCAGGCGGCAGGCGTTGACTTAGTCGTTTTCCGCACAGCCTGGTCCAGATATGCAGACTGTAAACAGATAGCTATTAAACTGTAATGGCACAAGCGCGTTGACCTGAGACAACTCGTGCTCGGAATCGCTGTTCCGAATATGCAGCTGATAGAGTGCAGGAGCTTAGACCATGGTCTGTCCCAGACCGCGCACAAACAACACGCAGCATATCCACCTTTTTCCAAAGCCGCATGAACCAAAACCTCTGTGAATTGCAGACCGCCCAGTGAGGAGCCGCCAGTTTAACTCCAGATCCTTGTTCATCTCCTGTGTGACATATCCCTGTGACTCTAGTCTGGGCAGCTCAGTCCAGAACCCCATTTTTTAAAAAAAGCAGCTGATGTCAGTATTATCTAACAAATGATGTACAACTGTAGCCCAGGGAAAAGTCAGGTCCACTCTGTCTGGAAGATGTACTTGGACATTTGTACATGACATTGATTCTGTCTGTCATTCTGAATAATTAATAATCTCTTAGGAATTACAATTTTTCACCAGAAGGCAGGAAATCTGACACAAATGAGATGGGAGTGGCCACTACTGTAGTCGACCACCACATGCAACCTCCTAAATTGTAAAGGGTAGTACTATACTTCTTAACAAGGGATTTGGACACCGAACACATTTTGACAACCCCAATATCGAAAAGCAAACCGTTAGCGCTTATGAGGCGATTTAACAACGGGGACAACATGCTGGACGCTGATGCTGCATTGCCCAGCTGATCTCAGTTGCCAAAATCAGCGTAGCGCCATACGCTGCAACACATCGGGCGTGCAGAGACCCGAGACAGAAACTGGGCTGGCTCCAGCACTGCAGTCCGAAAGCGACCTATGCAGGAAGCGTAACATTGCTGTCAAGACACTATACATGTCATGAGGAGCACTACTTTATCACGCCAACTTCCAACAGCAGCAACGTGACATACAGGCGTTCAGGTGACGCACAGCAGCATTTCTAAAATGTCTCAAATGACAAAAAATTCGGTAGAGGCAGGAAAGTTGACCGCATGGATAAACAGGCAAGTGCCACGCAACGAAGACAAACGGTGCTCGATTGGTTAATCATGGATCCGACTAGCTAAGCTTGTCCTGTTGTTGCCAAAGTAATATCATGCAATAGTAGTTTACGGTTTGAAAACTTCTGCTCGTAAGGAGCAGTGAATAGTTTACGGTTTGAAAACTTCTGCTCGTAAGGAGCAGTGAACAGCATTCGCGAACGAGTCCAATCCTGCGGACTCAAAAATTGCTGTCGCTATTCCTGATCTACACATATTGATTGCAAAATACAGTCAGTAAGTGCGCATGTTTCAATGACAAAGATATGTTTTGCTTACCATCCAGCAGACCATCACTGTTAGTCCGGAACGACAACACCTTCAAGGCGTCCACCTGTAAACTGTCGCTTTCATACCTGTTCACTTACACGTCATGCATGATGACATGACCTGCGGTTGCATGTGAGCTGGCCTCCACTACCTGCAGAGCCAGGGCTACAGGAGGTGAAAAGCAGGCATGCCGAATGCCTAATGAAATACGCGTCTCTCATGTCCAACATATGCAATATTCAAGGATTGGACGCGATAAGAGGCACACATATATTGGAGAAATGAGACGGCGGCCGGCTGGCCTTGTCCACGGATAAGCCGCCTGCTGCCTATTAAGAATGCACGGCCCTACGCTGATGGGAAGAAATATTAAGCAAGTGCTCAATGAAAAAAGATACCTAAAATGCGAATGTGCCACATATATCAGGATCAGTTCAGTGGGCCTTATCCTTCGTTCCATATGACAATTAATGTCGTTACAATCCTACATCACTTGTAGCCAATAAACGGTTGATAGTAATAAAGATGCATATCAAGCAAACAAACAGCTGTTAAGCAAGACAGAAATAGGGCTTAAAGTGGGGCCGACGGCGAGCCGGCACGATGGGATAAGACCTGTTGGAAGTATTAACGATGGAATCTGGTCACTTTCTAATGGCCTGTCATATTAGCCCTGCTGGTCATTTCGCGCCCCGCTGGTCATATGAATGCGTTCGGCAAGCATAATCCGAGACCTATCGCGACACTGGCTATGTTGAGTCGTAAATTAACCAGTCTGTGAAGGGTTGGTATTCGTGCAGCTTGTGCTGAGTAATACAAGTGTCAGGTTCCGCACGTGAGTAGGGGTATCCACTGTATAAGACCAGAGGCGATGGATGGTGTACTAGTACTGAAGCGGGTATGTGGGGGACCTGTTTGTCGATCAGCTTATTGGCCTCCAGTCTCCCAGTCTGGGGCAGGCTCCCACTCTGGCCCGCAGCCACCCAGCCTCCTAGGTCTGGCCAACCTGGCCCCAAGCCTCCCACCCTTGCAGACTCGAGTTGGAAGCTCCCAAACTCTAAGGCTCTCTGCCTCCCAATCTCCCAACCTCCCAGTCCCCAAGCCTACCAGTCTTCCAGGCTCCCAGACTAGTATGCTCCCAAAATCTCAGGCTCACAAGCTCTCAGGCTCCAAGACTCCCAGGCTCCTAGCCTCCCAGGCTCCCAACCTCGCAGCTTCCTAGGCTCCCAGTCTCCCAACCTAACAGCCTCCCAGGCACCCAGTCTCCAAATCTCCCAGACTCCCAAGCTCCCAGTGTCCCAGTCTCCCAAGCTCCCAGTGTCCCAGTCTCCCAAGCTCCCAGTGTCCCAGTCTCCCAAGCTCCCAGTGCCCCAGGCTCCTAGGCTCCCAGTTTCCCAAGCTCCCAGGCTCCTAGTCTCCCAGGCTCCAAATGTCCTAGCCTTACAGGCTTCCCGTCTCTTAGTCTCCCAGTCTCCTAGCCTCCCAGGCTCCCAACCTCCCAGGTCCCTAGGCTCCCAGTCTCCTAGCCTCCCAGGCTCCCAACCTCACAGGCTCCTAGGTTCCCAGCCTCCCAGCCTAACAGCCTCCCACGCTTCTAGGCTCCAAATCTCCTAGGCTCCCAGTCTCCCAGGCTCCTAGTCTCCCAGTCACCCAGGCTTCTAGGCTCCCAGTCTCCCAGTCTGCCAATCACACAGGCTCCCAGTCTCCCAGTCTCCTAGCCTCCCAACCTCACAGGCTCCTAGGTTCCCAGCCTCCTAGCCTAACAGCCTAACAGCCTCCCACGCTTCTAGGCTCCAAATCTCCTAGGCTCCCAGCCTCCCAGTCCCCAAATCTCCCAGTCTCCCAGTCACCCAGGCTTCTAGGCTCCCAGTCTCCCAGTCACCCAATCTCCCAGTCCCCCAGTCTCCTAGCCTCCCAATTTCCCAGTCTCCCAATCTCCCAGTCCCCAAATCTCCCAACCTCCCAGGCTCCCAGCCTCTAAGGTTCCCAGGATCCACATCTCCCAGCCTCACATGCTTCCAGACTCCCCGTCTCCCAGTCACCCAATCTCCCAGTCCCCAAATCTCCCAGTCCCCCGGGCTCCTAGGCTCCCAGTCTCCCAGACTCCCGGTCTCCCAGTCCCCCAGGCTGCTAGGCTCCCAGTCTCCTAGCCTCCCCACCTCACAAGCTCCTAGGCTCCCAGCCTAAC